CCACATGAAAGCCTATGCCTAGCGTGATACAGTTTGCATTGCAAGTCCGGTTTTATATGCAGAGGGGCGTTGAGGTTGTGCCAGCTTTCCGTGTTTGAGAGTGTGTTTAAATAAGGAGCGCTGGTTACTCAGGGCCAGAGGGAAGCGATGCTCCCTGCACAGCTCCGGAGCGGCCTCTGCTCGGTTACTAATGTTCGCTCTTCTTTCAGGCATAAAGACCGTGTTTGCAGGATCCAGCTGCAACGATATCGTTTGCACGGAGCAGTGTGTCATGAGTGGACATTTCGATAAGAAGATTCGCTTCTGGGATATCCGGTATACTACCCCAGAGCTTGGTGGGGGGCGCAGATGAGAGGGTCTTCCTGTGGCAGAGCTCTGATGAGGTTTTGTGTGTAGGGTGTGCTTTTTAAGATCCTGGAAGTGGCAGAAATGAGCTCCAGTCCACATTTATCTCAGTGCTTTGACATTCTTTACCCTGAAGTAGACTGTCTTGTTCAGCAGTCACTTATGAGCACACTGTGTGCTTTCGAGGCGCTTTGCCAGCTGCTAGGTAAACCAAGGGACAGCTAGATAGTCTGCAGTGTCGCAGGGAAGACCGATACGCAGGTCTGCAAGGTGTTCTGAAGTAGAGCCAGGCACCTTGGTCCAAGGACATGAGAGAATGCGTGTCAGGATGAGTCTTAGGAAGTGAGTGGACCTGACAGACTTTCCAGGCAGCACCGCCTGGTAGGTTGGGCCGTGGGCAGACAGGACTAGCCGGTGGTGGGTTGGGATCAGATGGCCTTTTATAAGTGACTTACTCCTGTAAGCCGTTGGGTGTTTAACAAAGGACCGCTCAGCACAAGTGCATAGAGGTGCTAGTGGTGTTTGGACGGTGTCCTGGGAGCAGGGGACCTCATCCCAGCAGTAAAGGAGACGTGGGAGTGTTTGAGGGAGTGTTTGCACTGGGGGGTGAGGGAGTGTTTGCACTGGGGGGTGAGGAAGGGGAGAACTGAAGCCAGACCGGGGACTGACTTGCCTAGGGCGGGGACTCTGCCCTGGAGTCCATCTCCACACCTGGAATCACCCAGCTGCACTTGGGGGGGCCCTGGAGCTGAACTTCGTAAGGCGGGGAGCCTGCGAGAGGCCCCACGTTTGTCCGTGTACAGTACAGCATCCCAGACCCACCGGAGCAAGTTTATGGGCCCTTGGCCCTGTGGACACGTCATCACCGGAAGAGTACTGAATGGGTAGTAGCCCTGCTTAACTCGTGCTGAGCCGGAGCTCTGATTGGCAGTTACTATAGCATTCCCTAAATGGGCGAGGAAATTAATTCTTCCCCAATTCAGAGTCCTGGTACTTAAACTATTACTATAGAATGTAGTGAGAGAAAAATAATAAAAGCAGTCCTTGAGGTGATTTCTGTAAGATTGGGACATGTTCACTGTCCTTCAAGAGTAAGGCATTTCAGTCCAGTTACCTTCTTTCCCTCTCTCCATGGAGCATGGCGTCCTGGTCAACGTGGGGAAGTTCTGACGCTTCCGTGTTCCGTCTTCTCAGACTTCCCATCACTTTCGTAGATCGGAGAGCATCGTCAGGGAGATGGAGCTGCTGGGGAGGATTACTGCCCTGGACTTAAACCCGGAGAGAACAGAACTCCTCAGCTGCTCTCGCGATGACCTGCTAAAGATCATCGATCTGCGAATCAATGCCGTCAGACAGACGTTTAGGTAACTGAAGACGTGCAGGTTTTGGTTTTATTTGACTCTTGCTGTTTTTCTGGGGGTCGCATGAACACCAGAGGCCCTGACCCTGCTCTCTCAAACCCCGAGTGGTGTGAGCTCTCGGGGTAATGGTGCTGTTGTTGGTTTCAGCGCGCCTGGGTTCAAGTGCGGCTCTGATTGGACCAGAGTTGTGTTCAGGTGAGTAGCGATGCTCCTCCTGCCCCGCCCACCCCCCAACCTGGTGCATCCCAGAGGGGCACGTGTCCACTGTCTCACCCCTGAGGGAGTGTCCAGGAGTGACCTGGAAGCTCAGCACCAGGGGTCACTGTCACTGTCTCCTTCCTTGCTGATGTTCCTAAGAGCTGTTGGAGGAGGGCGCCTGGGTGGCTCAGTCGTTAAGCGTCTGCCTTCGGCTCAGGTCATGATCCCAGCGTCCTGGGATCGAGCCCCACATCCGGCTCCCTGCTCAGCGGGAAGCCTGCTTCTCCCTCTGCCACTCCCCCTGCTTGTGTTCCCTCTCTTGCTGCCTCTCTCTGTCAAATAAATAAATAAAATCTTAAAAAAAAAAAAAAAAAGCTGTTGGAGAGCTTCTAGGGAAGCTGCAGAAGGGCGGCCTCCTTTCCTAGTTCTCGCTCTGCCTGCCCAGCGCTTCTCCCACGGGATGCTGAATTGGGGGTGGGCGGTTGACACTTTTCTGGTCTTGTTCCACAGCCCTGATGGTGGTTATGTGGCAGCGGGCTCGGCTGAGGGCTCTCTCTACATCTGGAGCGTACTTTCGGGGAAGGTGGAGAAGGTCCTTTCCAAGCAGCATGGGTAAGGGGAACCCTGATGATAGCCCCCCTGAGGTTGTGTGGAGGTGCTGTGACTTCATCCTGGGGATCCTGCCCCCTTTGGGCATGGACTGAATCAGCCCCGGGAGGACAGTGTGCGCTCGCTGGCTTCGCTGTGAGCAGAGTCAGTGGGGAGAGGCCGGGGCCGCTCGTGCCTAGTGATGCGACAGGCTGTCCAGTTAGAGCCCTTCGAGTAGTGGCTGCTGGAGAAAGGTTGGGAAAGCATCCTCTCTGATTATTTAGCGCCGCCTCTCCCTCTTTCCTCTCTGCTGCTGCTTCTCCCTTTGGAGAGTCTGGTTGTAAACATAGATTTTCATAGACTCTTTTCCAGTCCTCCCCCGGGCTCCTGTTTTGCTTAGCTTTGTTCTCTCCACCCAAGCTCAACTGCTAGTTGGAACAGAGACGGGGCTTTCCTCCAGAACCACCTCTCCCTGCTCCCAGGGGCTGTGGCCACAGTCCACTCCTCAGTCGGTCCCCCGAGGCTCTTGTCGGAGGGTGGGAGCTACTGCCTTAGGGTAGACTTGGTACGACCTGACTCCTTTCATTCCTAAACTGCTTCCTGAAGTACAGTGCAGGGTTCCTTTGAGTTCTCATGTTCATTCCCAAGGGCCTGCCTGTGAGGGGCAGCAGTCCTGGTGAGCAAGCTGGGCGTTGGAGGAAAGCCTTGCTCCCTGAATGTCAGGGGGCCTGGCGTTCAGTTCACTAAGATCTCACAGATGTTTTGACCTCTCCCATTGAAGCTCGTCCATCAATGCAGTGGCGTGGTCCCCCTCCGGCTCCCACGTCGTCAGTGTGGACAAAGGAAGCAAAGCTGTGCTATGGTCAGAGTATTGATGGCACCCCCGAGAGAGAGAGAGAGAGAGAGAGGAGCTGAAGCCGGCGAAGCACACAAGCCCCTGCGGGCTCTGTCCTGCACGTGGTGTGTTGGGTGTAGCTTCGACCTCCAGAGACAAGCTGGAGCCGCGTGGTGCCGTGGCCTACCTTTGAACAGGATTTCTGAGGATTTTAGCTGAGGTCTCTCATGGCCTGAAAGAATAACACTGAGAAAATCTGGCCCTGCAGTCACTTAGCAGAGGTTCAGGTTCTCGCCTTGCCTTGACTCGGGTGGGAAACACTACTGGCTCTGATCTTCCATACCTCAGTGGGGGAGCACAGGCACCTGCCGGCTTCCTCGCTGGCCGGCAGGGCCAAGAACGCCCCACGCGCACGTGCGGCTGTCGGTTCTCCCTCCGTGCTTTCTCCCGTCCTTCCAGAGTCGGTTCTGGCCCAATGCATGTCCTGTCACCTTGGGATGGTTTTCCTGGTGAACTCACTTGAATCATTGGATTAACAGAAACCCAAACAGGATTACCCCTGCCCTCAGCCCACAGGGACTGCCCTGATTTCTGAGGAGATGACAGGACCATGGTCCTCCCTGCTGGTCTCTGTCATTATTACGAGGCTCTTACTCTGATCTCATCTGATTACTGTTGGAATTTCCTTAGATCTCCTAAACCGTTCTTAGAAAGCAGCTGTTCTTCAAAGCTTCGGGCTTCCTTTTTCCCTAACAATGCTACACACCTATTTCTTGGTTGAGAAGTAAATCTCAGTTTGGTTACAAAATACTTTCTGGAGGTAGGAGAGGAAGTGCAGAAACCTTGCAGGGAAGCGGGGCTGCTGCAGGAATAGAGTGGCTCCCTGTGGCCATCTCTAGGCTCCCAGAAAGTGGGCGAGGCGCACACCACCTTCCTCTGCCCCGTGTACCTCGGTGACAGTCGCTGGTGACAAGGGATTAGAAGCCTCGAATGTATTAGCCTGGAGCCAGCAGTTCCGGGTCACTGCCCCTTTGCCAAGCCTACGTGCAATACCCCCTCGGTGCTTTAGTTCGAGAAGCCCATTCCAAGAAGCATGGGAACGTCGTCTTCAAGTTTCAGGAGTTCTGATTGAGGCCAGGGAAAAACTGGCCTGTGGCTTTTTTTTTTTTTTTTTTTTAACATTTATCTTTACCATTTTACCTGTGTATATCATTTTAGTTCCTGAGTGACTGAAACACCAATACTTTCATCACTTTTTAATTTGCACTTTATTTCTTTCCTTCCACACTTGTTCTCTGGACAGCTGTGGGTATGAGTGCTGGAGCTGGGTGAGGAGGGGCGCCGTGTCCATCCTCCCTCTCTCCCTCCCCGGCCCCCCCCCCCCCCCTTTCCAGCTTATTGCTCCAAGAGCTCAAGGGGAGGTAGAATTCACAGGCCAGGGCGCATCTTTTATTTATTTAATTATGTTGCCCAACAGAACTTGATTGTAAATTAAAAAGAAATCTGTTATATACTTTTCAAACTCTGTCTCTTGGTGGTTATTGTATGCTCCTCTGTCCTTCAGAGAAAAAGCTGTTTCTTTCATCTGTTTTCATGGTATTCGTTCATTAGTAAATAACAGCTATTATTTTCCTGGGGTCTCTCCTCATCATTCATCATTTAAGCCTCTGCTACCACTGCCTGTAAACCATTCCAGTTTCACACTGCGTGTGAGTCTTAACACAGCAAAGGGTCTCGTGAATCTCCACGTCTGTCCTGTGAGCACCCAGCGAACTCAGGAGACTCCTGCCGTCCGCTCCACGCTGCAGCCGGTGTGAGCGCCCGGTTCCCCGCTGGAGACTTGTCTGTAGGATTGATGATGAGCCATACCTGTCTCCTGCTGGTCTCCGGCCTCTTTGCTGAAGGGGCATGAATTATTGTGCTAGGACAAATCCTGATCTCCCAGAGGCCCCCCCCTCCACTGCCCAAGACCTCTGTCCCATTCCCTTTTTTTTTTTTTTTAAGATTTTATTTATTTGACAGCGAGAGCAGGAACACAAGCAGGGGGAGTGGGAGAGGGAGAAGCAGGCCTCCTGCCAAGCAGGGAGCCTGATGCGGTGCTCGATCCCAGGACCCTGGGATCATGACCTGAGCTGAAGGCAGACGCTTAACGACTGAGCCATCCAGGCGCCCCGTCCGGTTCCCTTAATGACTTTTACCGAGGGGCCAGCCAAACATCCGCTTAGCCCAGCACCTGGGGGCAGGATTCTGCTGTGATCTGAAGTCTCAGAGGCAGCCAGCTGTCTCCAAAAAGCCGAAGGAGCCCTTTGCAGTCACTTTCAGGAAGGTAAGTCATTCTTAAAAGAAGCCTAAAGTAAGCATTGCAGTAACCTCCAATTACCCTGTTTTCTTTGAACTTGGAGGGAAGCTTGGCTGCTCTCTACTTTGAACAGAGAGGTTTCGGTTTGAGATCCGTCTGCACCATGAAGTTCTCTTCAGGTTACCTGACTGCCAAGTCTGAGCTCTTTAGTGTGTGGGCTCACACAGCAGTGGAATAGGACTTCATCTGACTCACGGTCCTGACGCCCCCCATCTATCAGCTCATCTAGGCCCCTCTCCGCTGCTGCAGGCTATGCTGGTGAGGGTGGGAGGTGGGCAGAGGAGTTTCTCCATTTCCCAGGTGAATCCCGGGCGGTGGGAGCTGGTATGCTCCCTCATAAGTGGTGTCGGCTTTGACCCAGACGTTAACATACCTCAGAAGTTGAGAATTTTAAAACATTTTTTTAAATGAACTTGAATTCCCTAGGTCATTTCCCAAAATAGTGTGATAAATCAAGCTCAGTGCCTTATTCTTAAAGCATATGCCACATATACAGTAGTCTTGTCCTATAAATCTTGCAAAGCCCCTCTGCCTCTTTCCCGTCGTGGCCCACGGGAGATTGTGTATGGACACTGGGGTAAGTGGAGGAAGCTGCTCAGCCGGGAGGGGCCAGCCTGGCCAAGGAGTGGCTTGGTTGGGAAGTTGCAGATCTCTTAAGTGGACCAAGGTATGCAGAGCTGCCTGTGTCTTCGCGTGGCACGGCACAGCCCTGCTCTTAGAGAACTGGACACTGAAATGTGCACTTGAAACTCCTCACCCGTGTGGGCGCCGGGAAAGAGCAGCCGTGATGAAACTCCCCTCACGAGACTGCAGACTGCGGAAACCACGGACGTTTCTGGGTTCCTGCGAGGCCTTGGAGCGTAATCAGGAGCCTGTGGGTCTCAAATTCTGTGACCTGTGAAGTGTATCCCACGTCAAGGTGGGGGTGTCGCCAGAGCCTAGCGAGAAGCTGTTCTAGTGTCCTGACCCCCTAGTGGGCGCCCCTGCCTCCAATCTGCCTGCCCCTCCGGGCCTGCAGGGGCAGGCGGACACCAGACGGCCTCGGGCTGGCCACGCGGATGCCTTTGCTCCACTGCATCTTTTCTCTTGTGCCCTACGATAGTGCCCACTCACCAGAAATCCCACGTTTTCAAGCCAATGATAAACTTCGGAAATCTTGAATAAAGTGAAATGTACCCGTTTGTATAGGTTCTGGAAGAAAATCAAGGAAAAGTGATACCATCCAATAAGATTCGTCTCCGGTCAAGGAGATTATTCTTAACCGGCTTCACCTCCGTAAAATTTGATTTTTGTACCTTGGGGAGCTCTGGCTTTCAAAGCACAGCCCTCCTGGTTTCCGTCTGTGCTTCCCAGCCGCCCTGCCTTCATTCCAGATACTTCTTCCATCCTCTGTGGGCTCTGGCCATGCTGGGTGCTCTCCTTGGTGACTTTTCCCCGGGGCTGCACAGCCCTGTCTAACCCTGGCTGACCTGCACCGTGAGCACATGCACGTCCAGTGGCTCCAGAACCCATAGGAAACTGCTGTGCAAGGAGCCCTGGTGCATCTACCCGCCACTCGGCGACTCTGCCCGAGTGTTTGACAGCAAACCTAAAGCATGTCACAGACTACCAAGGACACGGTGCCATAGTTAGCCTCGTAGGGTTGACAAGAACTCCGTGTCATCAACTATCCGGTCCATATTAAAATGCTCCCAACTGTTTTCAACTATGGGTTTTCTACGATGGGCTTGTTTGGATCAGGATCCAGCATAACCAACTACCTTAAAATGTAATGGCTTGAAACAACCATTACCCTCCCAGGCCTGTGAGTGGGCTGGGCTGGCCCAGTTGGGAATGGCTGGGAGAGGGGGGCCCCACTCAGGTCTGGCAGGCAGCTCGGAGAAGAGAATGGCGCCACCGGCAGCATGGGGACAGGAAAGGACTCGATTGCAGCCATTGTGGCAGTTGTCTTCAGTAAAGGCTCCACTCCGTTCTCCTTTTGGGTCTTTTATATTCTACAGCAATAGCTGTTGCTGATTTCTTTTTCTGCCCCGCACTGGATCTGGTTGACTTTCCCCATAGGAGCAGTACGTGTGTCCCACGTGAGAACAGTGGTCCTGCGCATGGCCATGTGCCAGGCTTCCATGGCTCTGGACCCCCTCGTGGTGCTCGGCACCGTGGGCACTCAGGTTTTTATCTAGTAGGACTGAATCAGCAAAAAGCAAACCAGGCAGCCCCAAAAGGGTTGGTCATAACCAGCCAAGGGGACGAGTGAGGAGGAGGAAGGGAGAGTAGTTAAAAACCTAAGAACAAACCACAGAGGAAGCGGAAGTGTTGTGTAGAAACTGTTCTGTGCGTGTATGTATAGGTTTTGGGTCACAGTGTAAAAAGTGTATTTCTTTTTTACTGGTTTTAAATTTATTGAAATTCACATAAAACTAACCATCTTAAAGTATATTCAGTGTTCAACCACCACCCCTGTCTAGTTCCAGCAAAAGACAGTTTTGAAACTGGATCAGTGTCCATTTTTTTCAAACTTTTGTTTCTTGTTTTTTTTTTTTTTTTTTTAAGTATTTATTTGACAGAGAGACACAGCGAAAGAGTAAACACAAGCAGGGCGAGTGGGACAGGGAGAAGCAGGCTTCCCGCCGAGCAGGGAGCCCGACGCGGGGCTCGATCCCAGGACCCCGGGACCATGACCTGAGCTGAAGGCAGACGCTTAATGACTGAGTCACCCAGGCGCCCCTCAAACTTTTTTGATGTATAGCAAGCAGCTGATCTATCTGAAGAAAAGCATGGACCCTTGTCTTAGCTCAGGCTGCTATCACAAAAAACCACAGATGGGGCAGCTCCGACAACAGATACTTCTTTCTCCCGCTTCTGGAAACTGGAAGTCAGGTCAAGGCGCCAACAAGGTAGGTTCCATCCCGAGGCCTTAGCTCGTCGCTGCTGTGCTCACCTGACTTCCGAGTGCACTTGCAGAGTAGAGAGTGGGTGTCTCTTACAAGGACACTAATCCTATCAGATCAAGGCCCCGCCCTGGGACCTCATCCAACCCCGATCACCTCCCAGTACCCCATCACACCAGGGGCTTAGGGCTACTTCCACGTGTAGATTTGCGGGGAGGGGTGCACAAACACTCAGTTCCTCCGAGAGGCCTCTCCCTAAGTGTGGACAGCTTCAGGAGAGAGCTGCTCAATTTGTGCTCGGCCACAAAATCCTGAAGCTGTTTCATGACCCCTAGAAGCCTCTCTAGTGTTGGGATCCATGTAGCGTGACAGGGATGAAGAAGCACTAAGGTGCACATCAGCCTCTCGTGGGAGAGGCCCAGGGGAAGTGTTGGTCAGGATCCTCCTGCCCCCACTCTGCACAGGACTCTCCTTTTAAGGGACTCCTCTGGGGGCGCCTGGGTGGCTCAGTCGTTAAGCATCTGCCTTCGGCTCAGGTCATGATCCCAGGGTCCTGGGATCGAGCCCCGCATCGGGCTCCCTGCTCGGCGGGGAGCCTGCTTCCCCCTCTCTCACTCCCCCTGCTTGTATTCCCCCTCTCGCTGTGTCTCTGTCAAATAAATGAAATCTTTAAAAAAGGGACTCCTCTGCACATTTGAGTCATCTCCCCAACCCTGTGAGACGGCAGATCACGGGCTTGCCTTCTACAGAGGCAGAAGAGGAAATAGCAGTGAGCCCAGCTACTTGCCCACGGTCTCAGGGGACTCATCAGGGGCCAAAGAACCTCGGACTCCAGCCTCGGGCTGTTTGTCCAACATGGAAACCTGGAGCACCAAGAGCCATTCTCAGCACGATGCCTCAAGATGGACATTCGAAATCTGCCCAGGTGTGGGACCCCAGGGTGGCGAGAGGGTGGCGATGTCCATGAGGAATGAACACCTGTGTCCTAATCACGGATAAGTCACCCATGGAAGAGATTAGACTAACTTGGGCAATGGAGGGAAGTAGAAGGGAAGCTGAGTCCTTCCTAACAAAGAATTTTCTCACGTGTCACACTCTTTCAAAGATGGTAATGACTTCCCCATCCCTGGAAGCATTCAACAACTTGTTGTGGATGTTGTAGAGGAGAGCCAAACAAGGGATGGAGTGTGGACTACATTCTTTTTATTTTTGATTTTTTTAATTTACTTTTTTTTTTAAGTCGGCTCCACGCTGGGTGTGAGCCTCAATACAGGGCTTGAACTCACGACCCCGAGATCAAGACCCGAGCTGAGATCAAGAGTCAGATGTTTAACCGACTGAGCCACCCAGGCGCCCCTGGACAACATTCTTTTTAAAGTCTGCCCAACTTGAGAACCCACAGGATTCCATTTATGATTTCAGATACTCGAAGCCAGCCCAACCTATAACAGCCCTCTATTCCTTAGGCCAGTTGACCAAGAGGTCCATGTTGGAATTAAGGTGGCTTTTAAAAGCTGATTCCCTGGCACTCTTTGTAAATAGAGTTGCCCCAGTCTTCTCAGGTGCTCTCTGCTTCAGGGAAACTGAGGCAACGAGGATACAAGATTTTCATTTTGTAGTTGATGTTTAGCCGGGTATACTGGTTTTCCTCATGCATGTCCCCTAATAAAGCCCTAAGACGATCACCTAAGCCTGAAGCCCATGAGCTTCTTAAGCTGAACATCCCCAACCCGCCACCCCCGCGAGCTGGCTGGCGCTGTGTTTGGTCCCTGGGGGTGAGGCGCAGGCTTGGAGCAGGCTCTGGACCCCAGATGGGCGAGTACTGCTGTCACCAGTGGTTCCCAGACTTGGCATTCATAGAGCAATTTCCAAAATAACTCTAGGGGAAGGCTGGCAACTTTATTTTGGCCAAGTAAGGATTTTCTTTTTTTTCTAAACGGCCATCTACTCTCATCTTTATTTTATAAAAGAAAGGACATTTTGTCCTTACGCTTAGCAGCTGCATCCTGAAATATTTATGAGTAAAGTGTCAAGATGTCTGCAATTTACTTTCAAACGGTTCAAAAGGAAAAAGCAATAGGTGAGCGCACGCGCTGAAGCATTTATTGTCAAATCTCACAGTGGACCACGTGGGCGTTTATTGTATTATTCCAACTTTTCTCTATGTTCTAAACTTCACAATAGATTTCAGAAAATGAAAAACTCGTGGCGGGAGGCGGATCAGTGGTTGCCGGAGATTGGGGGGTTGGTGGAGGAGTTGACCAAAATAGGGGGGCCAGGGAACTTTTGGGGGGTGGAAAGGTTATGTCTTTTTTTTTTTTTTAAGATTTTATTTATTTATTTGCGAGAGAGAATGAGAGACAGAGAGCATGAGAGGGAGGAGGGTCAGAGGGAGAGGCAGACTCCCCGCTGAGCAGGGAGCCCGATGCGGGACTCGATCCCGGGACTCCAGGATCATGACCTGAGCCGAAGGCAGTCGCTTAACCAACTGAGCTACCCAGGCGCCCTGGAAAGGTTATGTCTTAACCATAGTGATAGTTAAACTCATCAAACTGCACTTTAAAATGGGCACAATTGCTTGGATGTAAAGTCTACCTCAATCAAGATAGGGAAAAAGAAGAAGGACATTTTAATATCCAAAAATTGAGGACTTCATAACCTCAGAAAAAAAGGAGGACAGTCCTTTACAGTGAAGACATTTGGCTCCATGACAAAGTTTACAACTGTGCCCTTGTTTTTCTTTCTCATTTTTCTGCCAAGTAGAGACAAATTCATCACTGACCAGAGGCTGGGAATGACTACCAGAGACTACATTTCCAAAATGCATGAGGTCCGGTACCCAGTCCACCGCCCGTTTTCCCCACCTGCCAGGAATTGGCGGGTCAGTGGCTGAAGTCCGTCAGTCTGCACCCCTCACCCCCAACCCCCCCCCCCCAGCCACCTGGTGCCAACAAAACCATGAGAATTGGTGTCCCAAGAGCAGCCAGAGGTGAAAGCCGGTCCCGGATGCTGCAGCCCTTCCAATGGGGACACTAAAAGAAGCACCCCGGTCATTCGTCTTTCTCTTGTTGGGGTGTTTTTAAGGGGAAAATCAGATACTCTTTTAAATTTATAACAATGTTATCTTTTAACCTTTCTGCTATAGGAGAAGTAAATGACTTGGAGAAAATTTTTTTTCTCCATTTATTTTATTTTTATTTATTTTATTTTTTAATTATTATGTTATGTTAATCACCATACATTACATCATTAGTTTTTGATGTAGTGTTCCATGATTCTTTGTTTGCATATAACACCCAGTGCTCCATGCAGAACGTGCCCTCTGTAATACCCATCACCAGGCTAACCCATCCCCCCACCCCCCTCCCCTCTAGAACCCTCAGTTTGTTTCTCAGAGTCCATGGTCTCTCATGGTTCGTCTCCCCCTCTGATTCCGCCCCTTCATTTTTCCCTTCCTGCTATCTTTTCTTCTTCTTCTTTTTTTTTAAACATATAATGTATTATTTGTTTCAGAGGTACAGGTCTGTGATTCAACAGTCTCACACAATTCACAGCGTTCACCATAGCACACAGCCTCCCCAGTGTCTATCACCCAGCCACCCCATCCCTCCCACCCCGCCCACCACTCCAGCAACCCTCAGTTTGTTTCCTGAGACTATGAATTCCTCATATCAATGAGATCATATGATACATGTCTTTCTCCAACTGACTTATTTCGCTCAGCATAATACCCTCCAGTTCCATCCACCTTGTTGCAAATGGCAAGATTTCATTCCTTTTGATGGCTGCATAATATTCCATTGTGTGTGTGTATATATATATATATATATATATATATATATACCACATCTTCTTTATCCATTCATCTGTTGATGGACATCTTGGCTCTTTCCATAGTTTGTCTATTGTGGACATTGCTGCTATAAACATTGGGGTGCACGTTCCCTTTCGGATCCCTACATTTGTATCTTTGGGGTAAATACCCAGTAATGCAATTGCTGGATCGTATGGTAGCTCTATTTTCAACTTTTTGAGGAACCTCCATACTGTTTTCCAGAGTGGCTGCACCAGCTTGCATTCCCATTGGAGAAAAATTTTAAATTACAGACAAGAAGAAAAAATTAAATACAAATAAAACCTGACATACCTACCACACAGAGACCACTGTTAGCTCCTTAGTACGTATCCTTGAAGATCATGCATATAATGCATATATGTGGATATACATATAGGTATGCGTACGTGTGTGTGCATATATACACACACAGTGTGTGTGTGTTTGCAAGGTGTGGTCGTATTACACATGCCATCCTATGACCTTTGTGTGGTCACAATCTCTACCTTCCTATTCCAGATATTTCTGTCTTACACGTCACCTAGACCCTATTCAGATTTCCTGATGGAGCCAAATGTCCTGTAGATCCTGTTTTTCAACTGGAGATCCAGTCTGGGACCACGCATTACATCTGGATGTTGAATCCCTTGAGTGTCTTTTAATTGAGTACCTCCCTTTTCTGTGACATTGGCTTATGAAAGACACCAGCTACTTTTCCATTCATCTGAGAGCTCTCTCATGGTGTCTTCTAGCTTGTTCCTCTGTTCCCCACATTTCCCATAAACCAGAAGTGATGTCAAAATGCTTAATGGATTCCAGTTCACCCAAGGTGATACATCATGTCTGGCTGGCACCATTGTCAATGCTAAGATTGACCATGGACCATGCCTGGTCCCCCGCTGTGCAGCCAGGCTAGCACCTTGTGATGAGCCCAGGATCCATTTGCCATCACTGTGGTGCTAACAGGGACAGCCATATCTCCATCAGCTCTTCACCTGATGGTTTTGACCCCAATGAATAATCTTTGTTTGAGTCAATCATTTCATCAGTAACTTTAGAGGGAATTTTACGATCATTCAGCTATGATAAGACCAACAGATCAGGAAGCAATGGCCCCTGAAAAGATAATTTGTTACAGTTCTTGAAAGGAGGGGGCAGCCTCTGCCACTTAGGGCCACCTGGGGAAGCACCATGTTTGGTCAGGAGGCAGAGGGATGGAGGGGAAAACACGGGCAAGAGTCTTCTTGTGGTTTCCACAGGAAACAACTGGTGAGGCAAGATAAGTGGGTTTAAGATTGGAGAGTTTGAATAACTTCATCTGGCTCTATCACCATAGAGTGAAACGGGCTTTCTCCAGTTGGCTGAATCCTGGTCTGGGGATGATTAGGGCAAAGCACTAGTGGCTCAAGCCTGTCCCAGGAGGAACCAAGGCCACTGAGGTGCGCTGGGCTCTGATTGGTTAGTTCGCATATGAAAGGCAGTTTGCTGTCTCTAGGGAAAGGGGTAGCCTGGGAGGGGCAGTCTCTCCAGGGTCCACAGAGCCCCGGCTGTCAAAGCATCAGAAACACAGAAAATAGGGGGCACCTCGTTGGCTCCATCTGAAGACCATGCAACTCTTGATCTTGGGATTGTGAGTTTGAGCCCCATGTTGGGCGTAGAGTTTACTTAAACAAACAAACTTAAAAACATACAGCAAATCAAAAATCATGATTATTCCAATCAGAGTTTGTCAAAGCATGTTTTTCTACTTCCATCATTCCTTTTGCATTTAGTAGCTGGCATTTCTCTGTTAAAAAAAAAAAAGTTTTCTCCCATAGAAATTAAAAATATTGTTTCTTAATTTTAGCTATTACCAGCTCTCACACTGTTGCTGACTCCTCCAGTGACTCCTCCATGTGCTGTAAGTATAGTGAGATCCCTCTTCTAGATGCTGGAGATGGGATAGGTACAAAGAAGAATCTCTGCACTCCCGGAGCTTACATGCTAGTAACGACGGGGCAGGGGACAGACAGGAAACAAGATACATGCATGGGACACAGTGACAAGTGCTATGGAGAAAAATAAAGAGGAGGCGGCGAGTTTTGGGTGAAGTGGCGCGTGATAGGCAGCAGGGTGAATGGGGTCACACTGAAGTAAAGACCCAGAGGAACACAGGAAGCAAACCAAGGGGCTCTCTGTGGGAAGAGTGTTCCAGAAGGGGAAGAAGGCAAAGGTCTTAAGGCAGGTTTGAAGAAAAGCAAAGAAAACAAGTGGGCTGGAGCAAAGTGGGTGAGTAGTGAGAACTAAGGTCAGGGGCGCCGGAGTGGCTCAGTTGATCAAGCTCAGGTCTTGATCTCAGGGTTGTGGGTTCAAGCCCCGCATTGCGCTCCATCCTGGGCGTGAAACCTACTTAAAAAAAAAAAAAAAAAAAAAAAAAGAGGGTCAGAGGTAACGAGGGATCAAATCTTGGAGGGCTTGCAGACATTGTCTAGGCAGGGAGGAAACCCCCGGAAGTTTCCACAGATGCTAACATTTCAAATGTTAGAACAAGCTTTCTGCTTAGACTTGCTTCATTCCCAGACACCATGTCAAGTTCAATATGTAAATGTGTTAATGGCTACAGAGTCCCGTCTGTTTATTCCCTGAATGTTCTTGGAAGCAGCTGTTGAACGCAATGGTGAGGGAAACAACGGGACGGGCCCCGGCCCTTCTGGAGCCTCGAGTCAAGTAAGGGAAGAGAGACCATACAATAATCTCCCACACAAGGTCAAAGGCAACTGTGCCTCCAACCCAGCCCAGGAGGGAGGTTGGGGAAGGCTCCCAAGGATGGGACTCCTCTCTTCCAGCAACTGAAGTGTGAAAGGAGTCAGCAAGTTGAAGAGAGAAGAGGATTGTTCTAGGCAAAAAGAACAGTGTGGGGGAGCAGGGGGGTGTGGTGCAGGATGATGTGGAAAGTGGGTGCCCAAGTCCTTTCTGAGAACAGCGGGAGATACTAAGCGGAGAGGACAGATCAGGGCTCGGAAGGGCCCTCGTCCACTGTGGAGAAGGGCCTGGAGGCTGTAGATGGATGGAGTCAGACAGCAGGAGACATTATGGTCCAGGAAAGCAAAGGGGGTGCTGTGGACGCAGGAGGAGGCTCTGGGGAAGAGAAGATGAGGACAGATTCCACAGACACTGGGGAGGTGGGGGTACAGGGAGGGGGAGGAATTGACAACACTCGTCTCCATAATCAATAGGGCGTGGGGTGGAGGAGAGGAACCTGTCTGGTTCTGACGTGTTTTTGGAGTAGTGTTGTTGGGGTCCAGAGCCGACGGCCAAGAAAGAATTCTTGAGACGTCTTCGGTGCAAAAAGGTGCTTTTATTAGAGCACGGGGACAGGACCAGTGGGCAGAGAGAGCTGCTGGTCCGGGGTTGTGAGGAACAACTGATTATATATTTTGGGGTTGGGGAAAGTCAAGACAAAGGGAACTTCCGAAAGGATTTTCATATGCTGAAGAAGATTTACAGGATACTGGAGGCCTGGCTATTGTCAAGCTAAGGTAGTTTTTCTCTCCAGCAAGCCATTAACATTAAGACAGGAGCTTCCTGGAGGAACATTATGCTCGGCCTGCCTCAAGTGTTTGTCAGTGGGCTTCAGGTTACAAGGACAGTGAATTTTATCTGCATTTCCTCCTGCCTTTGTTTCCCACATCGGTTTGGCTTGTGTAACACCAGGGTTCATCTTGAGGTTGACATTTCTCCTTGACCTTTTTGTTTCTATCCCCACACCCAAGGTTGCATTAGCTGCCTGCTGAGTTTAATCAAGTCTGTTGAGCACTGGAAAATCCCCTGTCCTAGTGATACTGGGAGTGAAGGGATAATCAGTCTATTTCCAGAACCCAAAGAGGGTTAGGATAGAAAGGAGCTTTTCTTTAGCTCTCATCCCTCCCACCACGCCTTCCCCACTGGAGCTCCCACATCTGTGAGCCCCTCTGGAAAAAGACTAGAGGCCTTTGCCTAATGCCTAGAACTGCTGAAACCACCAGTTCACCTGTCTCAACCCTAATCCCATTTCCACTCTGCTCCTTAAGTGGGATTTGGCTTCTAGACATTGAGACGTGGGTGTGGGCCCCCTCTCCAGATCCCCTACAAATTCCCCCACACACGTCAAGCCAGGGGCCTTGGCAGGGTCATCTGGTTACACAGAGCAGGGGCCGGTCGCTCACCCCGGAGGGACAGAGCCCCTCTCCTCACCTCCCGGGCTCATCAGGCTGGCTGCACAAGGTACATGACCACCCCCAGCCCAAGGCTTCTCAGACCTGGGGCAGGCACAGGGAGAGCAAGGGGCAGGACCATGGGTGTTTTTCTGTGGTCAGTCTGCCATAGTTTCCCCTTTTCCGTGTGGTTTCACGGACTTTGCTTGTTAACGAGACTCAGGGTGCGCTGAGGTCCAGACAGCTAAGACGGCCCTTCCACTGTGTGTCAAGCTGGGGAGCGGTGGGAGAACAGGACAGGACTCCTGGGGATTTAACATATCTTGAAAACGATATTTGTGAAGTGGTTATGTTGTGGTTTTCGGGAACCTTTCCTATTCTAATTACCATGGGACATCATCGTGATAGAATTTTAAATCCGACCCAGCGAAGGCTAGTCAGGAAGTCAAACCTTCCAGCTGAGGTTTACTAAGAAATGTTTGAGGCTTATCGAGAAAAAGAAAACACATGTTCTAAAAAAAAGCCCCCCAAGGTGTCATAAACGCTAGACAGAGAGGCCTTATTTCATCGAACATCGATATTTAAGCAGATACAAGCAGATGTCTACTGGGCACGCAGGACCTCACGGGTAGGTTTTATACCCAGAATGTGCCTGGCTGCACATGCAGCCTCGTTTTCCCTTTCCACAGCCCGCTGACACCTGACGCACACCCCGAGGTGGGAGAAGCCAGCTGCCAGGGACACGTACCATGGCCGCCAACGCCAAGAGCAGCAAGTCTGCACCCAACCATGTGATCTTCAAGAAGACCTCCCGGGACAAGTCGGTAAGTGGTACAGAAGTGAGTGGCTTGAGGGGAAAAAAAAAGGTTTCTTAAAGGAGCTTTTTTGAGAATAGACATGGGGCACCTGGCAGAGCATGCAACTGCTGATCTCATGAGTTCAAGCTCCGCATTGGGTGTAGAGATTACTTAAAAAAAAAAAAGACACAATCAACACTAAAATCCTGAGAGGCTGAGGGAAGCTCTGTGTCTGTGTTCCGTCGCTATTTGCGATGAATGATGAATGAGACGTAATCGAATGAATTGCACACATACGACTTCTTTTCAGTCTCTTAAAGAACTTAGCCCTGAGACCCTTAATTTTCTCCTCATCTCTCAGTCCCCACCCTCTTACTTCCAATTTTACTTGTTTTCCTAGCTGGCCTTGAACCAATGACTTAACCATTTCAAACACTGCTTTGTCGATACTAACTTGCGGGGCCCTTTGTCTTCTTGCTGCCTGCCTGGGGAAAGCCCCAGTGCTGGACTAGGGCAGCTCTATCTTCCGTGCGCCTACCCCAGCCACCATGCCTTCAATCCGCACTTGGCTCAGGGCCACTGGGTAAGGGAACATGGCTACCAATATCCGGGCCGCTTGTGTATCGGCAGAGATGATGCCCCTGTTGGCTCCATCGGGGGCTCAGTAGACGGTCTAGATGTGCCCATGAACTTCTGGCATGGGAGGCCTGACGGAAGGTCACCCCACAGCCTCCATGGACAGGGTCTTCTTACTCCATTCATTGGCTTCTTAGGGGCTGACAATCTAGCTTGGCGCCGTCCAACTCAAGCTGCAAATGTTATTTTAAAGCGTGTAGCTGCCACATTAAAAAAGAAGAAACAGGTGGAATTCATTTTATCATGTATTTTATTTAACCCAGTATATGCAAAAAACTATCACTTCAACATGCAAATGATATAAAAGTTATTGATGACATTTTACGTTCATTTGCTAAGTCTTTGAAGTCTGGTGCGTGTTCTCCATTTATAGCACGTGTCAGTTTGGCATGGCCATATTTCAAGTGTCCTGAAGCTACCTGTACCTTGTTGCTACTGTGCTGGACAGGGTGGATCTAGATCATTCTTCTGGTTCACTTCTGAGACATTCCCATAGAAGTGGTTGAGAATTTTGCTTTCAAAGGCTCTTCATACAGTTGGATTCGGTCGCTCTTTACTCCAGCAGCTTAGCCCTGGGGACTGTTTCTGACACTGAGTCAAGTTGCAGGACCCAGAGAATCATCATCGGTGCAATTAGACGCTTACCCAACACATGCAGTTCTGAAAGCAGGTAATCAAGGGACTTCTCAGAGCTCTATTTTCTGTGCTTTGTAAACCTGAACTTTGGATTTTTTCTCTAGGGTTTCTCAAATGTTAAGCCTATATTGGGCCCAAAGGAAACTCTCTGATCCTCATAGTGCAACACAAGAAAAACAGATCTGTACCAGGCACTCTCTGTCCTTTCTACTCCCAGCTGAGGAACTCCACTTTGGGGTGATAATTTGGGGACCCCCTCAACAATTCATTCCCCAAACTCTCTCCCAACTTTGTGTCTTCCCAGCACACTTTGTCTTGACTTCTGGCAGAAGAAGAGAGAAACCACTCCTGCCGGGCCATGTCATTTTCCCACTTTTTCCCCCCCTCATACCTATAGAAAACCTTTGAACCAAGAAATTTAGAATTGCTGTATATGGGGGGAGAATCCACCCATTAATGTCTCACATATTAAGACTATTCCAATTGCAAGCTCTGTATGGCTCCAGGCATGGTGCACCAGGAGCCCTGGGCCCATTTCTCTGTGATTCTCTGCCCTCTGCCCTCTGCTGTGATCTTCATCCTCCAGCTGGTGGCAAGATGGCTACTCTAGCTCCAGGTGTCTCACCCTCACTTCCTTCCTGAAGAAGGAAGAGGCTCTTACTTCCTGGTATCTCTTCTAAAGAGTGGGAAAATATTTTCCCAGCAGCCCTCCAGCAGACTTCTCTCATATCTCATTGGTCAAACTGGGTCACATGCCCACCCTAAACCAGCCCTGAGCCAAAAGGAATTGGATAATCATAATTGGATCAGGCCAATCAAGAACCGTCCTCTGGGGCTGGCCTCTCTTAGCGCGGGACCCCATGGGGGATGGTGAACTCTGAACATAATTGGCAACTTGTATCCAGGAAGAAGGGTGCTTGGTTTGTTGGTTGAGCAAGCAGCAGGTAGGCCACAGTCCCACATTGTTCAGCGCCATTACTCTTCCTGCTCTGCCCCTTTCCTCCCCTCCCCTTCCAACTGTAGCAGAGGACATGCCTTTGCTCCCATCTGAGGTTCATGCTATTTACACCTGGGCCTCAGGGTCCACCTCCTCACTAGCGTCCTCCACCGTCAGCCTCTCCCTCCCTACCAGTACTTTGCCTGAGCGTAAAAACAAGTACAGACCTCATGCATCTTAAAGACAACAACCAACAAACTCCCCTTGACCCTATTGCCTTTCCATTTCCTCTTCCTCCACAGCTAAAGCTTGAAAAAGAAGAAAACACACTCTCTCCACCTACCTTCAGTCTTCCCTACTGCCAACCTCAATCAGATGCCTAACTGGCTTTCCCCTCATCCATTCATTCTCCACTTTGCTGCCAACGTCGTATCCTCCATAAAATGGGGCTAATTCCTATCTCACAGAGTAGTTATGGGGATCCAGTGAAATAATGTAGACAGTGCTGAGCTTGGCCCCTGAGACACGATAAACACTCCAAATGCTGTTCAGCTGCAGGTCTTTCATCCTGCTTAAAATACTTCAACATTGGGGACACCTGGGTGACTCAGTCGGTTAAGCATCTGCCTTCAGCTCAAATCATGATCTCAGTGTCCTGGGATGGAGTCCCTCGTCAGGCTGCCTGCTCAGCCGGGAGCCTGCTTCTCCCTCTCTCTCTGCCCCTCCCCTACGTGCGCTCTCTCTCTCTCTCTCATAAATAAATAAAATCTTTAAAAAATGCTTTAACATCTTCTTAGAGTCTTTAGGATTGGGTCCTGTAAGACCCTTTCTGGCATCAGCCTGCATCCCCACTTGGTGGCCATTCACCTGCAGATGAAGCCATTGGTTCCAGAAGCATTCTCTTGATTCTGGGCTTTGTATACACTGATTTTGGTTTTGTTTCATTTTGTTTTGTTTTGTCCAGAAAACATCCTCACACCATCCAACACCTACCTCCTTCCCAGCCACCTGACTATGTAGTCCTTTGGGTGCTTCAACATCAAATAACTGTGAAGGTATAGGGATTCACTCCAGGATATCTGATATGAGGGGGTGGAAATAGGAGATGATTGAATGGCAACAGAAATGATTCTGGGAGTTCATGGACATAAGAATATGAATTTAAGAGGCTTAAGGAAGAAGGGGGCTAGGTAGATGTACACACTCACTCATTGGTGCCCTTAGCAAATGTAGATTAGAATCCTGTCGTGTACCAGGTACTGTGGTAGAAACTTGATGGCCAAGAGATGAAAGAATTCCTACCATCAAGGCACTCACTGTTCTGTGGCTTAGAGCGGTGAGTGATGGGGAACACGATCCATGCCCTTCCACAAAGGGGGTTGGCAGAGACTCTCACTGCCAAGGGCACGGAACAGACAGGAAGAGGACCGAAACAGCGATCATTGCCCCCCAACTCCCCCGCCCCTCTTGCTCAGAGCATGGGTTCTGGCGTACCTGTCTAGCAGCTCACCTGGTAGGATTTCAGGGATTCTGGGACTCCTGCTTCTTGGCTCAGTTCAGAAATTCTTCTAATGAGGAGGGGAAACCTTTCATTCACAGACAGAAATAAGAGGCTTAAATGTCAGGAGGAGCCTCATTTACATAAGTCTAACTTTCCACTAAAGTATCATCAGTGAATTCAACAAGGTCACCTGGTTAATGTCAGACCTGGGCTTGGTGGGAAAAGGTGGGAGAACAGGGACCATCCAGAGGGGTGGGAAGTCTTCCTTGGAGCAGATTTATGGGGCTGAAGAGAGAGCACAACTTGCCTGTAATCCATAGTCCCTGCCCACAGCCAAGCGGGGAGAGAGGAGGTGCTGGGCAAACTGCAGAGCCAGGCAGCAAGTCTTCTCAAGACTAATCAAAATGTGCCAGTTGTTGCCACGGTTGGGGGGCCTTGGGGGGCTTTTTTGGTTGTTGCTGATTTTTAACTTGCATGCGCTAGTGTTCTTAGGCCACTTAGAATCTCCATCTGTTCTTCCTACAGGTGAGCATCTATCTGGGGAAGAGAGACTATATAGACCATATTGAACAAGTAGAGCCTGTTGGTAAGTTGAGTTTGGAGTGAGATTTTAATTTTAATGCTGATTTTCCTTAAAGCCATTAGACAACTGCTACTTTCGTATTTCTTCAAATCATCTCTGCTGATAATCTAATCAAAGAAATGCAAATTAAAACATCAGCGAGGTAGCCACTGGCTGATTGGAAACCATTTCAGAGCATGGGGGAGACAAAGGACTCATTTCTAGACTATATAAAGAAACTCAGCAGTAAGAAAGACAAAATCCAGTTAGAAAATGTACAAAAAACATGAAAAGCAGTTCATCGAAGAAGATATATGGATGGCAAAGAAGCCCATGGAAAAATGGTCAGCATCATTATCCATTAGGGAAATGCAAATTAAACCACATTGGATTGAAATATCATTATACACCTGTCAGAATGGCTAAAATTAAAATAGTGACAATACCAAAAGATGGTGAGGATGTTGAGAAAACAAATCACTCATACATTGCTGGCGGGAATGTAAAATGGAACACCTACTCTGGAAAATCGTTTGGCGGTTTCTTTAAAAATTAAACATATACTGGGCGCCTCGGTGGCTCAGTTGGTTAAGCGACTGCCTTCAGCTCAGGTCATGATCCTGGAGTCCCGGGATCGAGTCCCGCATCGGGCTCCCTGCTCAGCAGGGAGTCTGCTTCTCCCTCTGACCCTCCCCCCTCTCGTGTGCTCTCTCTCATTCTCTCTCTCTCAAATAAATAAATGAAATCTTTAAAAAAAAAAAAATTAAACATATACTTACCATCTGACCCAGCAATTGCATTCCCTGGCACTCATCCCAGAGAAATGAAACTCACATCTACACAAAAACCCATTCGCGATTGTTTATGACAGCTTTATCTGTGATCGCTCCAAACTGGAAGGAACCAGAATGTCTCTCAATAGGTGAACCAGTTGAAACAAGCTATGGCAATCCATACCATGAAACTCTACTCGGCAGTAAAAAAGAACGAGCCACTGATACAATAGTGTATGGATCTCAAGAGTCTCATGCTGAGTGGAAGAGCCAATCTCAAAAGACTGTATGACTTCACTTAGATAACAATCTAGGGATGACGAAATTATAGGAATGGTAAACTTATCAGTAGTTGGGGGAGGCATGCTAAGGATGGATGGTGGGGGGAGGGGATGACCCGAGAGATAGCTCTTTGGTGAGGGAACTGTCAACCTCCACATGAGATAAAATGACTTAGAACTGTACATACACTGTACCCCATATCAGCTTCCTGGTTTCGATATTGTACTACAATTATCTAAGATGTAACCACCAGGAGAAACTGAATGAAAGATACAGAGGGACTTCTCTGTGCTATCTTTGCAACTTCCTGTGAATCGATAATTATTTCAACTAAGATAGCTATTTTTAAAAAGAGAGAGTGTAAAAAACCTGGCGTTTCTAGGCACTTGAGGATGAGAATGTCCCTGAGCAGAATGCTTTCTGGAAGGTCATTTGGCACTATGTCATTGAAATCCAAATCCAGTTCTACTGTTGATGGATACAAAAATGTATCTGTAAGGATGTTCATCACAATGTTCATGGTAATGGGGGAAATTGGAAATAAATGCCCTAACGGGGGGGTTAATTAAATAACTTATGGTATGTTCATTCAATGGAGCCATGTGTGGCCATTAAAATGGTATGTATTATATGTGTGTTCGTGTAAGAATAGATGTTTGCAATTTATAGTTGTATGAGAAAAGCAGTTAACTGAACAGTCTGTATTGTGGGATCTCGTTTTTTTAGTAAAAACATCCATATAAGTGTATATACATGTAGTAAAAAAATTCTGCGCCAGTATCTTGACAATGGGTATCTCTGAGTGGTGGATATTTGGGCGACTTTGTTTATTCTTTGCTTAACTTCCCTTTCTAATTTTCCTATAATGAACATGGATTCCTTGTGCAATTAAAAACTGCAGAGAGGGGTACCTGGGTGGCTCAGTCGGTTAAGAGTCTTGACTCTTGATCTCAGCTCAGGTCTTGATCTTGGGGTTGTGAGTTCAAGCCCTGCTTCGGGCTCCACGCTGGGTATGGAAACTCCTTGAAAAACGAAACAAAAACTACAGATAAATATATAAAGAAGGCCTCTGGTCTCTTTCAACTTTTTTTTTTTTTTAAGATTTTATTTATTTATTTGACAGAGAGAGATAGCAAGAGAGGGAACACAAGCAGGGGGAGTGGGAGAGGGAGAAGCAGGCTTCCCGCCGAGCAGGGAGCCCAATGCAGGGCTCGATCCCAGGACCCTGGGATCATGACCTGAGCTGAAGGCAGACGCTTAACGACTGAGCCACCCAGGCACCCCGTCTGGTCTCTTTCATCTTCTCTGCCCTCATTGTTGTCTCCCTTTTGGTTTAGATGGTGTCGTGTTGGTAGATCCCGAGCTTGTGAAGGAAAAGAAAGGTGAGCCGGGCTTCTCGTCCTCCCAGGAACAGGTCTGGTCTGATCTCTGGGGAGGAGGAGCAGGAAACAGCAGGTGCTCTCTCGCACACCCATCACCTCCAGGCCCTGTCACCCACGCTCCCTCGGGTAATCTTCAGGACACTGTCCTGTTCCCATTGGAGCTCACTGTGCCCATTTCCCAGATGAAGGTAAAGACCCAGGGGAGCCGCTTGGCCAGGGAGGCAGGATAGGTAGACGGTGGATGGAGCATGGAGGGTAGGTCCATGGGCTCCACCAGCTGTGCCAGGGGCAAAACTCAAGAGGGCTCCTTGGTGGGTTTATCCCAAAAGGGGGAAATCGAGCCTGCTGGATACTACTTTTTTTTTTAATGCTGACCATGGTGGTTCTAAGGCAGAGCATCCTTGCCGATCTCCGGCAGCTGTGATGTGTGGGGCCGGTAGTTTGGTGCTAAAGACAGCTGTGTAAACTAAATCAGGACAGACCTGAGTTATCTTATGATAATGTCACTGACTCAATTCCATTCTAACTACGCTCTTTGGAGTGGTTGCTACTGGCAACCCCAAGGAATTACTCCCACCCCTGGGGGTGCCCATGGGAGCACATCAGATGTGGGGCCGTCAGCACTGAGGGGGCATGGCTCTTCTATTGTCTCTGACTTCCTCCTGGGCGCCATGCTTCTCGGCGGCATCTGGAGGAGCCTGGTTTGAGCCTGGAAAGCCCACACCCGTGGCCAGAGACGGGCACCTGCTCTGAGGGCAAGCAGTGTCCAGTGAGGGAGGCATAACGCCAGGTCGTCTCTGGGCACCTTGCTCTCACAAACACTGGATGAGGGGCAGGCAAGGGATCAGTGGCTCTTCTGAGCTTCGTGGTGAAGACATAGACAAAATCCACCAACTAATGACTTCTAGGGACTTGGGGGGACCACTTCTGACATGCTTTCTGTTCAAGAAGAATGCACGTTCTGTGCTTTTATTTACCCCATTAAAGACTTGTACACAGTCCACCCTCAAAACCTATAGTTTCGTATAATCCTTTCGGTCCACTGGAGGCATGGATTATGTCTGTTTAATTAAATTGAATTTTCAGAGGTGTTGACTTAGAGAATGCTTGATAAGTTTCTGAGCAAGGTGAAAAAAGCGTTTCTGGGATTTGGTTGTTTCTCTCTTCTTGGTCCACGAGCGCCTGTCCCGCTGCTCTGGCCCATCCCCAATCTGTCTTGCTCCCTAACGCTGTTTCCCTCTGCTAATCACCTTCACTCTCTGTTAAAAGCCTCCCAAGGTCCCCAAGCGGGTGGGTCGAGAGAAGGGGGTGGTGGGATGGAGGACACAAGGGAGTCTGTAGGCAAAATAGTGGTTCATGGAAGGTGCCTCCCCATCTTCTGACTCACATAGGTCTTTAGAGTAATCAACACAAGCCCCAGGGAAGGTGCTGGATCTCCAGAAGGGTGTAGGCTGGCTGGGTGGCGTGGTTCTCAAACCCCGTCCCCTCCAGAGGCTGGTGGGTGAGCGCTGCTGGGGAGGGGCGGGCAGGGTCCACGGTTGCCCATGCGCACGCGGCCAGGCGGGGGCGCCATGCCGATGGGACAAGCCTGCCCTCCTCTGTCTCCCTTCCAGTGTATGTATCTCTGACTTGCGCCTTCCGCTACGGCCAGGAGGACATCGATGTGATCGGCCTGAGCTTCCGCAGGGACCTGTACTTCTCTCAGGCCCAGGTGTTCCCGCCCGTGGAGGCCACCAGTGCCCCCACGAAACTGCAGGAGAGCCTGATGAAGAAGCTGGGGGACAACACGTACCCCTTCCGGCTCACGGTGGGTGACTCCTCTCCCCCTCCAGGCCCCTGTCCACAGCACCTTGCAGTGTGACCGGGAGTGAAGGAGAGGGGACGGAGCAATGACTTCACATTTGTGGGCCTTCAAATTGCATCCTTGGAGGAAATTCTAGATTGCACGGGCTGTGATTGTCTTTTTTTAAGCCCTTGAAAATAGCCTCTCAGCCTTTGAAGGCACCACTTCAACCTACGGTTTAAATATTTCCCTTCATCCGACCACCTAATTATACGGGCATGTTATTCCTTCACTCACTCAGCTATAAAAAGAGAGAGGTGCCCCCCGGTTGGCCCGGACGAGCTCTCAACACGGAAGAGCTCCCTGCCGGACAGGGGATCGTACTGAAGTCAGAAGTCGTCCCTCGCCTTGACTGCTGGGCCGTGGGTCCCTAGATAAAGGGCCCCACATCTCGCCGGGGGAGTCCTGGCTACCCACGGTGCCTCCAAAAGACTCGGGCGTGAACTCGGCCTGGGGGAAGCTGCCCTACCCTCTCTCTTTCCCAGCGTGCTCATGTGTCTTAAGATTATAAATTTCTCCAAAGTTATAACGGGTCAGCCTTAAAAGGGAAGGGAATTCTGACGTATGCTGCACCACGAATGAACCCCGAACAACATTAGACTGAGTGACAGAAGCCAGACACACAAGGACACACAGGTGTCCGATGCCAGTGACCTGGGAGACCCCGAGCAGCCAGATTCAGAGACGCGGAGCCTAGAATGGTGTTCGGGGAGTTAGCGTTGACAGGGGACGGAGCTTCAGTGCGGGTGGGTGAAAACCGTCTGGGGATGGATGGTGGGGATTATTGCAGGACAACGTGGATGTACTTCATGCCACTGATCGGTACGCTGAAAACCTAAGTCTTACATTGTGTGTATTTCACAACTTTTTTTTTTTAATCACTTAAGAAGACAGTTTTGTGGTCCTGCGTGTTCTCATGATCTGGTCCTGGGAGTTTGAAGTGACATCACCTTGGAGAGCTAACCTGCCAAAAACCTTAAAAATGTGATTTTGACCTACGTTCCCTTTCTAGCGGCATCGCCTGTGGACTTCATTGGGATAAAACTGTGCCGAGGTGGATGAAGAAGGTTTATGGCAGCATATGGTTTCTCGTGGCAAAAAAGAGCAAAGCACCATTGAATGAAGGGCCAGCCAACAAAGGGGGCTGGCTAAATTAAATGTGGGGTTAACGAAGCCCAAAGAATGGCGGAACTCGGTGTAGAAAAACAGGCATAATGCATTCTGAGGAGGGTTTGGGCGGGGATGGGAGCAGAGCAGACGACAGGACACGGGCATCATTGGGTCTCATTCCTGTAGCACACACACGTGGACGTCCATATTAGTGTGTGAGGGAGCCCACGGGACACTCGGAAGTTCGTATTCCTGATGTTATTCCGGGTATTGGCAATAGGGGTGAACACGGGGTTTTGTGGGGGGTTTTTGTTGTCATTTTGTGCTCCTCATCCTTCCTTTCCCAGTTTTGTACATCGAGTGCATATTACGTGTGAGAGAACTGCCTCTAAATGAAATGATTTGTTTCTTCTCACAGTTTCCTGATTACTTACCCTGTTCGGTGATGCTGCAGCCAGCTCCGCAAGACGCAGGGAAGGTTAGTTCCGAAAGAAAGGCCATGGATCCATTCATTCCTTCAAATGACTTTTTTTTAAGATTTTATTTATTTATTTGACAGTGACAGAGACACAGCGAGAGAGGGAACACAAGCAGGGGGAGTGGGAGAGGGAGAAGCAGGCTTCCCGCTGAGCAGGGAGCCCGATGCGGGACTCGATCCCAGGACCCTGAGATCATGACCTGAGCCGAAGGCAGACGCTTAACGACTGAGCCACCCAGGCACCCCCAAATGACTTTTTAAAATAGCCTTTTGTTGTGGACAATTGCAGACATGCACAAAAGCAGAGAGACGTTGTAACGAATCTGTCACTTGTCTTCAGCAGCTGTTAGCCAGGCCAGAGCCTGTGGATGGAACAGTAGTCAGTCCCGCCCCTCGGGGGTTCCCCAGGCGACTGGGGAGGATCAGTCAAAAACGAAATAACCAGTGTCTATGGGGCCCATTCAAGGACGGTTAGGCGCTCTGGAGAACAAGAGGCTAGCGAGAGTCTGGTGGGGTGGTTGTTCAGGATGTTTTAAAAGAAGGCCTCCCCAGGAGGGTAAAGGAGAAGCGCCGCTATCCCAGGGGAGAGGCTTCCAGAAAGCGGGGACACGCTGCCTGGCGTGCAGGGGCAGGAGGAGCAGGGCCAAATGGCGAGAACAGGTCAGGGGTGTGGGGAGGTGCGGGCCCCGAAGACCTTTTTCAGTGAGCGGGGAGCCACTGGTGGGCTCTGAGCAGTAGGTCCCCAAGGGCACCCTGGCCGCTGCCCTGAGAGGGGCGGGTGGGCCAGGCATGAGCTCCCAAGGGGGGAGAGAAGCGCAGGGGCTGAGTGTGCGCCAGGAGGAGCTGCCCAGGCACCCCCCGTGCTGCTTTATTGTTGAACTAGATCTCAGGATTGTCACGATTCCCCGGCTGTAGAACCAACGGGGCTGTGGCTCATACGCCACCGTCAACACAACCGATCATGTCCTTTAGCCGGTTGCACTTTTCTCGTCGGGGCGGTTGGTGAGCGCGGCGACGTGCAGAGATGAGCAGGCTGGGGAGGGGCCCCGCGGGGCAGATGCGGTTGTTCTGCCCACACAACGTACTGCTATTGAGTCCGTTTCAAAATCAGAAGACTTTGCCCCCAATTCCATTTCCGGCTTCTTTGCCAAAGTTGGAAGAGCCACCGGCGCCGGGACCCGCCCCCGTTCCAGCCGCGCCACGTCTGGGTTCGGCCGACCAGCCCTCCAGGGTTGGTGGCCGGTGTGGGCAGTCGTGGACCCCCCGCCAGCCCCACGAGCACCTGCGTCTAGCCCCTGCTGTGGGCGCTGTGACCTCAGTGCCAGGCATGCGGAGTCACAGCTGGAGGGACAGCTAAATGGCGGGGAGGGCTGGACACCATACGTGATCTCCCTGGGAGCTTGGGCCCACAGCGCGCTCCCCGTCCTGACCTCATCCTTTCCTTACGTGCTTTCTGCACGCGGCAAATCCAGCCTTCGTGGAGTAGCCCTCAAAAGGATGTGGCAAAGACAAAAAGACCCAGTGCCACCTAACATCCCGGTGGGACGTGTGACCCCATCCCAGCTGCCGGGAAGGGAGGTGCTGACTGAACCCTTGTCTCTTCTCTTGCCCCCTGCAGTGCTGCGGGGTCGACTTTGAGGTCAAAGCATTTGCCAGAGACAGCGCAGAGGAAAAGGCGGACAAAGTGCCCAGGAAGTAAGAGTGTAGCTGCGGGACGAGGGGCGGCGCCTGGGGTGGGGGGCAAGGAGCTGGGGTGGGAAGCTGCCCCTCACTTGAGCTCCCCCCACAGGACTGCACGGCCAGGGAGATGGGGCCCGCCCAGCCCAGGCAGTCAGGACGTCCACACACAGGGCAGGGTCGGTGGCTCGTCCTTTGGGGGTATAAAAGGAAAATGGTGGAGGAGCTAACAACCTCAAGGTTCCCATAAGCCTCTAGCAGCCCCTGGATTCCCTCTCTCTCTCTAGTTTTCTTCTTCTCAGTAATTCCTCTATTGTGATAAAAGTCCTACCGTTTTAACCATTTCTGAGTGTGCCCTTCGGAGACATTAAGTCCATCCACTGTGTCGTGGGACCATAGTTACAGCACTGTGCGCTCTCTGCGCCCCAGACTGTCTACACCCAGAACATGTCATCACCCCAAACAGAGGCTCTCTGCCCTTCAGGCAGTGACCCCCGCCCTCCCGCACCCCCCCGGGCCCTGGTGCTCACTTTTCTTCTTGTACCTGGACATGGTTTTCTATCGTGCCCTCGATGCTCTTTCCTCACACCTAACACACGCACTCGTGGAGGTCTGTTGTGATGAATAGCAATTGCAGTAAGTCACGTTTGCTGAGTGTGTGGAAGAACGTCACACGAGGCACACTCAGCCCCTGCCCACCCCGGGCTGTGCCCTGAGAGCCGAGGGTGACAGTGACCTCGAGCCCACACCACCCAGCTGGGGAAACCTCCGAGGAGGGACCAGAACACAGGTCCTTGGGGCCCTCCCGCACCCCAACATGGAGCTCCTCCCTCCTCTGTTTCACCTGTCACCCCTTGGGAGTATTCCTGAAGCATCACAGCCTGAGGACGGGGAGAGAGGCCTGGACACCTTCCAAGGAGGCCCAGCCATGAGCCCAGAACTCTCTGCTTTTGTCACCCGCAGGAGCTCCGTGCGTTTACTGATCCGGAAAGTACAACACGCGCCAGCGAAGATGGGTCCCCAGCCCCGAGCTGACACCACCTGGCAGTTCTTCATGTCCGACAAGCCCTTGCACCTGGCTGTCTCCCTCAGCAAAGAGGTGAGCCTCGGACAGGCGCTGTGTCCCGCGTGGGAGCGGGCCCTGGGGCCCACGCCGCTGCGGGTGTATTGCAAGTCATCTTGTGTCTAGGCGTAGTTAAAGCACCAGTGTTTTGTGACCAATTGGCTTTTTCTCATAATTTGGAGCTAGTAAAGGTGACCCTCAGGATAGGGTCACACTGGCCACATCCACCGCATTGCCAGTCCTAGACCAACTAGGGAGAAGGGTGGTGGTTTCCGTGTGCCCCTGACCCGGCCGTTTTTGCCCCCCTGGCCCCATGGGTCTCATTTACTAGCTCCAATGGGTGTGATTTTGCAAATTGTTTACTTCCCTGGAAAATATAAGTTTCCATGTAATGGTGAAGGGGTGGCCAAGTCACATGTGAATGGCATCTCTTAGGGATGTTGTGGTGAAGGAGGGTGAAGAACCACCAGCTGAGGCTGTCTCGGGTCCCTCTGGTCACCGAGAGTCATGCAAACGTGTTAGCAAAGGCTCAGCATACTGTGTGTATATGCATGCCTGTGTGTGCCCACGTGTGCAAGGATGTGCCCCCCCCCTCCCCGGGCCTGGATCACGTGGGGATCACTGCTGAGGAGAACCCTGCCCCTGGGCTCTCCACTGATTCCCCTTCACTGCCCTCATTCTGCCCCAAATGGCCTTCCGATTCCACCGGGGACCCCCCTCGGCCAGCGCTGCCATGACCCTCAGGACTGGGTGTTCCAGGTGTGAGCAGCTTTGCTCCACTCCACCCTGGTCACACTGTCCTCAGGGCACCACAGACGAGGCAGACCGCATTCGGGACCCTGGCTAACGGAACCCTGTTGCTATCCCTTTATCTTCCTTGAAAGTGTGGGAATTCAGCCACTTTGATTCTGGTTAAAGGACGGAGATAGACCTAGAAAGCCATGAGATTAAAGATACCACCACGCTCTGTTCCTCTTTTCTGACTTCCTTGCTAACTTTTTCAGATCTATTTCCATGGGGAGCCCATTTTGGTGACCATTACCGTGACCAATAACACAGAGAAGACAGTGAAGAAGATTAAAGCATTAGGTAGGAACTTCTCAAAACGGGAAGGCAGAGTCTTCTAGAATTTCTCCATCTGGTCATATTTCCCCAGGGTCTCTTCTCTGGGCAGATAAGGCCCTCCTGGGTCTTTTGTCATGGACAGCAGGAACTTACAGGAGGAAAGACCCTCAAGAATCGCCTCATGCCACCTTGTGTCCAGCTTAGGGCTGTCTTTTGTCCTGAAACAACGTCCCTGACAGGCAATCCTCCAACATTCCATGCCGTGCCTTCCTGGAGGAGCCCCTTGCCAGATCCCAGGGAGAAGCCACGGGAGGAGTTTTCTTTCTTGGATCAGAATTAAGTTTTCTGGACAGAGGTAGCATAGCATAGTGGGAAAAGCACTGGATTGAGGACAGTGGGCCTAATTTGTGGGCTTGCGCCTTGTGCGTCCTCTCTGAAGACCTGGCACTGGTTCCTGGTCTACCTTCCTGGGTTTTGTGAGGCTTCAAAGTGCTTTTGTAAATGGAAAAGCCCTACTGTGTCTGCTGTTGAGTTACCACAATGTGATGACCAAGCCAGCCTGCCTGCTCTTCTACCCCTTTCTCCAGCTCGGAGGGCGTCGAAGTACAGGGGATGGTCAGATAGCGTGGTCTTCGAGGAGCCACATAAAAAAGACACGACAGAATGACCGGGGAGGGTGACCTCTAAGTTCACCACTAACTCAAACAACACTCAGTGACTAAGACAAAGTCAGACTCATAGTGTGTTATGGTGACCAACAGTCCTGGCTTGACCGGGATTTTCTTTTTCTTCTTCTTTTTCTTTTTAAGTTTTATGTCTTTAAGTAATCTCTGCCCCTGACATGGGGCTTGAACTCATGACCCCAAGATCAAGAGTTGCATCCTCTTCCGCCTGAGCCAGCTGGGTGCCTCTTGACCAGGATTTTCAGTGCTAAAATGGGCTACTTCCAGGCAGATCAGGATGGCTGGTCACTTATGTTACACACCACTTTCCTCGTCCCTTGTGTGTGTGCATCATAGATAAGATTCAGGAGTTTTGATGCATGCACACTAAAGAATTACTGTACGTTTTCCTGATGCTGATGTGCATGCTTATGGCTTTGTCTTATGTTGGTGTAGTTCATCTGCATTTGCTCTTCATAGGACCTGGTATTATTTAGCATGTTGTGTGTAGTGTGCAATACAGTAGTCCACAAAGTAGCAGGATTGAGAAAGTATCATTTGATACTTTGATTTTAAATTATTTCTCAAAATTTTATGAGTTCTCACATCAAGGCCATTCATTTTTGAAAGAAGCTGTTGAGCTTCCTGAAGCCAGATGTTAGTAGCTTTCTATAGGCTGGGCACTGTGCTGAGTGCTTCACACAAATTGTTTCTCTTACTTCTCAAATTTGATCTGAACAGAGATTAAAAAAATTTTTTTTTGATCATCACAACAACCGTGGAAGTTAGATGCAGTTGTCACCCCCATTTTGCTGATGGGGAAATTGAGGCATAGACGAGTTAAATGACTCACCCCACGGCTGACAGCTAAGCCGGGGTTTGAGCCCAAGGAGTCTGGCTCCAGAGCCCACCTTCCTACCCACATGCACGAGTCAGGAGTATGATGCTGGGAGAAGGTTTCTAGCTTGGACAACTGGAAGGAGGTGCTCATTAAATAAGAGAGTGTTGGAAGGGGCGGCGGGTTTGGAGAAAGCACAAATGGTGAGTTCTGGCACACTTGGAAGGATACCCAAGGGTAGGTATGGCGTGGGTTCAGCGGGTAGGGGTCTCCTGGGAGGTGCAGTTTTAGGGAGGCTGGCTCATGGGGGCAAGCTTCCACAGAGCAGGTTATTGGTGAACAGGAGTGGCCTGAGGACAGAACTCAGAAACCCCAGCCTTAAAGCCAAGCCTGAGAAGGACCCTCCATCAGCATTAGAAAGGGAAGACCCGCTGCATCCCTGGCAGGCGCCATGCACATGGGTGGGGGACTCCATGTTGAATCACCCACCCCTGTCCTCCCTTTGCAGTAGAACAAGTGGCCAACGTGGTTCTCTACTCGAGTGACTATTACACCAAGCCGGTGGCCCAGGAGGAAACACAGTGAGTAGCTGCTTGGGTTTCTATTTTCTGGGTGGCTCAGGCTTCCTTGTCAAGTTCCCCTTTTGTTTGTCCTGAAGAGGGAAGTAGGATGCTTCCCTTCCTTCCCCTTTTCTCACTTTAAGGGCTGCAAGGAAAGTTAGCATCTCAGTTCTGTTCTCCTTCCTAAGAGTTCCTGGAGATCTCACTCACAAGGAATGATGGAAAGGAGAGAAATAAAGATTGAAATGTCACAGTGGGAACAGCTGAAACTTTCTGTTGCTCCTTGGAATAAGTCCAGAGGAATCTGATACAATTTCTGCCCCCGGTGCAAACAAGCCAATGATCTGTCTGCCCAGGCGAGGGTTCTTCATCTTTTGATCTTAAGCTCAATTTGAAAATGTGGTACCAATGACAGCCAGATACCAGTGGTCTGTCAGTTCTGAGCCCGGCGCCATGGAGCGTTTCTCTCCCTTCATTAGAACTGAAAGCAGAGGCGTACCCTGTGATGGGGGAGCCAGAGACCTGTCCGGTCCTGCTCCATGCTCTTCATTCACACACGGGTTACTGGGGTGATGCCTCCCCCCAGAGAGGGTCACTCGGGCAGGTCTTTTCCTCTTTGCCTCTCTGATGTGTCTCAGCACCACTGTATGCAAAAAATATTACCAGAGCTACAGGAAGGGGGCCGGTGAGGAAACACAAACTGATTCAGCAAGAGAATATGACGTAAACTTTAAAAGACAATTTTGGAATAAACTATTACTCAAAGCAGATCTGGTCCCATGTTTAAATATAGGTCCAGAGGGGAGGGAGGCAGGAAAGAGCCGTAGCTCATCGGCTGCTCCCTTCGTGCTGCTGGTGGGGGGGTCTGTTCTCCCCTGCAGGTGCATCCTCACACGTCCTCGGGTCCCGGGGCTTCCCTGGCTCACCTTTTGGCATATGCTCAATGATGAAAGGAGAAAATGGTCCCTGGCTGAGTTTTCCCCTCAGATAGCCCATTATCTGGACTTCTTTTCAGCAATTCAGTGCATTTTGGACCAAATGATTCCCAGGACACTGGCGACCGTTGTAGGATCCCCCCAAGGGTGGGAGGCGGGGAGCCTGAAAGCTGAACTAGATCGTGCTCACAGGTCTCAGGCCAGAAGCCACTCAGAAGGCTGCAGAGCCTTAGTCATTATCCCTGGACCCCGGGGCTCCCAGGACCCTGGGGCTGACTCCTGGGCAGTGTTTTTAGGGCCACTCCGTGCACCAGGAGTGTTGACACAGGCAGCCGGCTGGCTGGGCCCTGCAGTGGCGTGGACACCTCTGGATGCAGATGTGGTGGAGCATGCCGGTGAACAGCAGAGCTGCCTCGGCAGCCTCCACGAGCCAGGGATGCTCCAGGCCTGGAGAAACCCTCACTGCTGTGCCCCCAGCCCAATCCCTGACCTGCAGACCCACTGTTTGGCATGGGTTCCCTGTGTCTGTCAGAGGCTGAGACACCCACCACCTGACCCGGTGACAGGGAAGAACCGGGAGAGACAGAGCACGTGTGCCTTGAACCAAACCAGTCCGGTCTGCACCAGTCCAGAGGGCCCTACCACACCCTCCTCAACAGCCCGATCCTCCTGATAGCGACAGCTCTCGGTGACAGGCGACTTCCAGCTGAGGCTTCTTGCTGGCACTGGCCAGATGGCCTGCAGCCCATGGTGTGGTCACGAAGTCTCAGGAGGAGACTGCTGTGGGCCCTGACCCTTGTGTTAGTCTCATTTAGCCCCACAGAATACTCTAGAAATTCAGTGACTCACAGGAGGATGAGGCACTTGCTGCCAGCCTGTTTTGAGATGTCACTAATATTTCTTGTAAGGCGAGTGCACAGATAACCTGAACTATCTTCCCCATAAGTCACAGGGACCTTGGATCTTGGAAAATGCTTGATGGCAGATAGGGTCTCGTGGGACTGATGGTGGCTTTATGGCCTAAGAATAGTTAGCCAAATATCCCCTCTGTGTTTCTTCCTACAGAGAAAAAGTGCCACCAAACAGCACTCTGACCACAACGCTCACGCTGGTGCCCTTGTTGGCCAACAACCGTGAAAGACGGGGCATCGCCCTGGATGGGAAGATCAAGTACGAGGACACGAACCTTGCCTCCAGCACCATGTGAGTCCTTGTAGCTCAGGAGACGAGCCGCCAAGACTCAGTGCAGAGGTGGTACTGGTCTGACCCGCTTCTTATCTCACCCCCTGGGCTCATGGGCTCACGTGGAGCCTGATGGCTGTCACTCCAGGCGCAGAGTGCTGACTCGGTGGCCCGAGCGGGGCCCACACTCCCTCCCCTGGTGTGACATGGTGGTTACAGCAGTGGGCTCTGGAGGCAGCCTCCTGCCAAGCCCCAGCTCCACTGCTTAGAGTCTGGGCTACCCTGGGCAAATGACTCAGGCTGCCTAAGAACCTTAGTTTTCTCATCTGTACAGTGGGGGTGCTGTCTTTTCTTGTGGAGAGGCTTATAAGGATTACGGGAGACAGTCCGTGTAAAATGTGGTGCTGGGTACACAGTGAGTGCTCCAGAAATGTCAGCCGTTACCTTCTAAAAATATCATTAGCTAGTGTAGTGCCCTAAGCACAGAAACTGAGTAATGCCGGGGCGCCCAGCTGGCCCAGTTGGTAGGTCGTGTGACTCTTGATCTCGGGGTCATGAGTTTGAGCCCCCCATGGGGCGTGGAGCCTACTTAAAAAATAAAAATAAAAATAAATAAACTGAGTAATGCAGGTGGCCTCATGCATGGTGGAATGGCCATTTATTCATTTCCACCAGGGAAGGTAAAGAACAGGAGGTCCTAATAGCTACAGATGTTAATTAAATTTCAATGAAGCTAAGCACTGCTCTGCTGACCCCAACTCAAAGAACCATTGGCTGGCTGAATTTTGCCAGCGGATCTAGCACAAACTGGAGGGAGCCTTCCAGGTCAACTATCCACCTGTCCTGGCATGTCCAGCCATCCTTCAAGGCTTCCATTCCCAGAGCATGTTGGTTGGCGAGCCCTGAGTCGGGGAGATCTCAAGGCCCACTCCCTGCCATCCCTCGTGTGATGCACTGGGGCTCCCTCCGTGGCCCCAGTAGGCCACCTGCAAGGGGATGCCATCGGGAAGAGGCTCTCCTGCTTGATCTCCATGACCCCCTAGCTCAGCAGCCCATGGGCTCCGAGACAAGAGTGGGGTCAGCAAACATTTGGCAGGAAGCGGGATCATGGGAGTCAAAGGATTTTCTGAGGAGAAGGGTCCAAGTTGGTATGTTCGATTCTAAGGCTCTCTGGTGAAGGTCTGGGAGAGTGACTGGCAGGCACGTGACACGAGATCAGTTTTTTCCAGGGTGTGGCCATCATGACACCAACAGTGGCATGCCACGTTTATAGAAACGCTGTATGGTTTGTCGACTATTTCACAACCATGTAAGTCTTCCACACTTTTGTGAGGAAGGCGAATTTATACTCATTTTATGAATGAGGAAATTGAAGTTCAGCCAGAAGGAGAGGCTTGACTAAGGTCACCTGGTCAATTAATGGCCGAGCAAAGGCCACTCCTAACCCCGAGTCCCTCCCTCACCCCCAGCTTCAGGGCTGCCTTCCAGGGCCCTGGAAAGTGACAACCACAGCAGAACCTGGATTAGCCAATCTCTGTGTGTGTGTGTGTGTGTGTGTGTGTGAGAGAGAGAGAGAGAGAGAGAGAGCGCGCGCAAGTGGGGGCGTGCAGAGAGACTCTCCCATTCAAGAAAGATGGCGGAGGGGAGGCTTGCAGGGTATTATCAGGCATGAGCTGAAGCACATTCTCTCCCCCAGCTGTTTCACTCCATTCAGTACAAGTCAGACAGTCAGTCCTAGCAACGGGGGGGGGGTGGGGTCTCAGGCTTGCACCCCTTTTTGTCCCCTTTGGTATCAGCCTCTCTCAACTGTGTGACCACATTCCATGATTCCAGATAAAGGCATTTGCCCTCCACAAGCAGCTCCAGGCACCAAGGAGCTGATGGAGTATTTGAAGGGCATCATGGCCCTGGGAGCAATGCCCAAGGTGCCTCCCATGAAAGGGATCCCTGGGCTGGGGTCTTTGGGCCTAGAACCTACCCTGTACTCTCAGACCCTTCTCAGACCCTTCTCAGACCTCTCAACACAATCGTGCCCTGCTTTCTGCCTCAAGCCTTCAGCTTTCTTGGCCATGTTGTCTATTGTCATTCACATTGTTGTAGCTAGCCTGTCATGATATTTTTCAGACCTTAACTCCTGTGACTGGGCATCCTGAAATACTCAATGTCCCTGCAATGGACGGCATATGAGATAACAATGTGTTATAATGCCCAGCAGGGTGCCTGTCAGACAGTAGGAGCTCAGCACCTGTTAGTAGAACCTGGAATGGAGCTCCTATGGGGGAAAGTTAGACGGTGCTCTCTTTGGGGGCATGGGCAATGGCCTCACGCACTGTGTTCATTCACCTCAACACGATGCTGGGAGCTGGGGGCCAGAGCACAAAGGAGGGAGACCCATGCTGATGGCAGATGGCCAGGAAGGCTTCACAAAGGAGGGTCAACTTCAACTTGAGGTCTTAGCAGAGAAGGAGGGCATTCCAGGCTGGTGTGTGGTAAGGCTGGTGCATGGGAGACACTGGGGCATAGTGGGGCGTGAGGTGGCAAAGGCAGGGAAAGGCCAGCTCACAGATTGACTGCCAGGCCATGCTGAGGCTTGACCCTGGGAGAGCCCTCTGGCTGCAGAGTGGCTGAGAGCTCAGGGAAGCGGCTGGGCCTGTGGGAGGTAAGTCACTGAGATAATAGAGGCAGGAAAAGCCTACGGAGGACTCAGTGGTTGGCCAGGGATGGCAGGTGGGGCAGAGGGAGGAGCCAAGGAGGATGAGGAGGGGGGTGTTTCTGGCTGATAAGCAGGTGGATGAACAACACTGGAGACAGAGTAGGTAGAACCAGGAAACACACTCTGCCCTTTGAACTTCCGGGGTGGGGACGGGTGGGAAGAAATGCCAAGCTACAATGCAGGAAAGGAATCCCCTCCCTTGACTATGGAAAGTTCTAGGACTTTGACAGCTTGGTTGAATTCACCAGTTCCTTAAGAAGATGCTCCCATTACAATAGGCTTGTCTGGAGGTGAGGGGTTTGTTCATCCAGTCTTTGCTTTCTGCTGTTCCTCTGTAATTTTCCGCTTTTCCTTTCTGTTTGAGCAGAATAAAGGAGGGCATAGACCGGACTGTCTTGGGCATCCTGGTGTCTTACCAAATCAAAGTGAAGCTCACGGTGTCAGGGTGAGTGTCCAAGAGCCAATGCTGTGGGCTCTGTCTTGGCCTCTCCCCATCTGAATTCTTCCTTTCCTGAATGATTGGGAGCCAGCAAGGAAGAAAGATCTACAAATTCTATGGATGACCAAGTAGAGTTTTGGAGAGATTCTGTTTGTCTTGTCATGACCAAGTAGAGTTTTGGAGAGATTCTATTTGTCTTGTCATCGTCGATTCTGTTTGATCTGACATCACGTGGGAAAAATTAGAAGGAGCAAACTACGAAATACATTAGTGCTACTTGGTGGAAGTGTGCGTGCTTACGCTCACATGGTGGAGGTTGATACGCCAAAAAGAAAAATCCGTTCAGTGCTACATCACACTTCAGGAAAGAAGGGCAGCTGCCAAACGAATTCTCGGTAGATCTCCATTTTTGCATCTTAGGAGGGAAAGAACTTGAATTCTCACTTTCCTTTCAAATCCCATTGCCAAAGGTTCTGGCCTTTTACCTTGACGAGCCATCAAGGGCAAGTCCAAGCATATATTCTGTGATTCTAAGTCGATAATGAGTTCCCCCAGTTTCGGCTGGGACAACAAAGTGGAGCATGGGTTGATTTTACAAACTGTGTTACCCCCGTGTTTGTAGTTGTAGTGTTTTTCAAAGTGCGTAGCATTACCTTTGATTTTCTCCGAGAGGATCTAAAACGGTAGAGTTTCTTTTAGTAATCAGGATAAGTGAATAGCAGTGTATTCCACAAAGACCTCTGTGGTCTATTCTTGAACATCAGGGCTTGGACCTAAGTGATTCCTCTTTTTAGCTAATCCACTTGAGAAAGAGATGACGTCACAAGTAGAGAGGAAGAGTCGAGTTGAATGTTACGGGATTGCAAAGATCCCGTAAGTTGTGAGTGCGGAGCGTGCCTGGGACATGTCCACCTCTGAATAATGGGAAATAAGGTTGTGGTATCACTGGGACACTCACCAGCCCTGTTTGCTTTTGTTTCCTAGCTTTCTGGGAGAGCTCACCTCCAGGTAAGCCTGGTCACCTTCCTTCCCTGCTTGATTCTCGGGATATCATGGGGAACCAATCTGGGGTTCAAGACAGTAACGGTGAAATCTGGTTTGCTGGCAGTTCTGCTCAGAGGCGTTATGAAGTGAGGCCCACTGCCTACCAGAGGCATCGTACGAATGTTGCCTAATCGGTGTGAGGCTGGGGATGTTTCCTCGAGACCATAGCTGAGCCTCCCCTGGGCAAGGACACACACACACACACACACAAACGCACGCTCAGAAAACTGGCATGCTCCTTTGTGTCTTTGTGTCTGTGTGTATGTAACATGAAGTTTACCATCTGAACCATTTTAAAATGTACAACGTCAAGGATGTTTAAAATATTGTGCAATGGTCAGTGCTCTCTGGCTCCTTTGTATTTTTACCACCACAAAAGGAAACCATAGCCATACCTATTAAGTGGTCTCTGACATTCCCCCCTTTTCCTCGCCCCTGGCCACCACTGATCTTTCTATCTCCATGGATTTCCCTCTTCTGGCTATTTCATAAAAGGAATCAGGCAGTATCTGTCCTTGGGTGACTGCTTCTTTCACTGAGCATCATGTTTCTGAGGTTCATCCGTGTTGTAGCAGATGTCAATACTTCATTTCTTTTTATGGCTGAATAATATTCCACGGTGTGGACAGACCACATTTGGGTCCTCCATCCAGCAGCTGGTGCACATTTGGGTTGTTTCCACCTTTTTCAAACCATGCCCAAAGTGGCAGGCCTGAAGCCACGTCCGAGGCGGGCGCTGACCTCGCAGACTCTTTCATCCTGGCTCTTACTGTCTCCATCCCTCACGTGGAACCCAGACCCCATCTGCACTGGGGTCTGACCGGAGTCGCCTTGTACACAGATGTGTTCTGACCAAAGCCGTAACGTCGGGGTAGGAGGCGGTGGGTCCTGGGTGAAGCAAGGAGAGACCCTTGCTCTTTCACTCCTTCCTTTCCATTCTTCCTTGGTCCAGATTTGCCTTCTGTTCTCCATCCTGACCCCTTTCCTTCCTTCTTTTTGTATAAATTCCAAGCCACCCCGAAGCGCTTCAGTTTCTGGAATTTGGCGTGGCGGGCGCTGCTCATTTCTCTTCTGCTCTCTAACAAGCGACTATGTGACTCTTGACATAGAATAAACACACGAAAGGTCATGTACATTTTGGCAAGTTTTTTTTTTTTTTTTCCCAAAACTATCCTTTCTGCGGGATTTCACTTCTCTACCCACCATAGCACATCACTGGAACTAATAACCAGAAGGAAGGGGAATGAACTTACAAAGCCTAGCTGTCTCTGCCATGCCTAAGTGAAGTTTCTGGACCGCATTCCGGGGAATACATTTAAAATTCCTCCTTGACCACTTCCTGATTTCTGGTTTATTTTGTTTTGAATCTCACTGAATCCTCTTCCAGCTTGGAATCTCTTCAGCCACCACTCTGTTCTGTGTGCTTTACAATCCTGTGTGTCTTCTCATCCATCTGTATTCTCTTTTTTCCAGTGAAGTGGCCACTGAGGTGCCTTTCCGCCTCATGCACCCCCAGCCCAAGGACCCAGGTCAGTCACGCGTCGTCTTGGCTTTCTCCAGTCATTTACTACTTGCAGATTTCTTATTTATTCATTGCTGGTCGTTCCTGACCATGGCCCCGGGGGGCATTGCCAGGTGATTGCTTGTCATCCTCACGGTGCCCTGGGGCCAGCCCACAGAGGAGTGTTCATCTCCTCAGCCACGAGCCACAAGCCACGAGCCACGAGCCATGGCTTGTCCACCTTCAGTTAGCATGTGGACAATAGAGCATCCCTGCCCTTGGACACGGACTCTCCTGTTGGGTTTTATCAGGGATGGTTTACAAGCCGAAGCTCTGGTGGGAATAGAACTGGATTGAGATTTAAAGAAAATTTAGGTGCAAAATACATTTGAAAGGCTGAGGCTTTTGCATTTCATTTGGAAACATTAACAGGCATTCACAAGATGAGTATTTTGGGCGGTGGCAATTGTGATGAGAGTACAGAAAATACTAGAAAAAGGGGTCAGGCCAGGTTCCTGACGCCTTGGCTCCTTTGAATTGCAAACCCATTGGCTCTCGTATGGATGTCTGCAGTAAATGGAGTCATGGTTGTACAACTCTGTGAATATAGTAAGAACCACTGGACTGTGCCTGTCACTAGGAAAATTGTATGGTATATGAATTAGAGCTCGATATGGCTTTTAAATATGTATCTTTAAAGATTGTTATTTACTTACTTGAGAGAGAGAGAGGAGGAACGGAAGGAGAGGGACAAGCAGACTCCTCATGAGTGTGGAGCCCCATGTGGGGCTCGATCTCACGACCCCGAGACCAGGACCTGAGCTGAAAAAAAGTGGTATAAACAAACAAGATTTATTTTTCTTATATTTTATAGCTTTTTGTATCTTGATCATGAAATGACCTTTAAACACTAGGATGAGCCCCCGTATTCATTTTGGGTTTGTCTCAAAAATATTTTGTCTCCAAGTATTTTTCCAAATATTCTGGATTTAAATAGTCAATGTACTTTGGAGAAAAAGTAGTCTGGCCACATTTTTCTTATTCGTACCTGCTGGTATCATTCAGATACTATTTTTTAACTCTGAGATGCATTCTGGTCCCTTTCAAGGACATTTAAAAGAATATTTTAAAACTATGACCTGAGACGATGCCATCGTTTATGGCAGATTGTTCTCTGGAGCCGTGAACAGACTTTTTGCCTTAAGTTGGGGGAAGTGGGGCTCTTCCTTTTCTGGGTATGACATTCTCATGTTCCAGTCATTCTGGCCCTTCCATTGAACATACCACAAGGTCAAGACTAAACGGTGATCTTTTGTCCTGTGAGATTTCAGGGAGAAAGGACAGATCACCCCGGGGCCTCTAAATTCTGACTTCCTGAGATTTGAGTCACAGGACTTTCATGCACAGGACTACTCACACCTTACCTGCCTGGTGTCCGGCTCTGAGTCTAGACAGGTAGACTAAGCAGAAACAGCGCTAAGTTGTAGCTAAGAAGCTCTGCCAGAGCCTGGGGCCAAGTAATTTATACCTAATAGACACTACAGAAATGCTACCAAGTTTTTATTATCCCCTGTCAAGAGCATCCACCATGGAATGCAGGTGTTGATTTGATTCTCTTTCAGGCTGACGGTCCCAGGTAGTGTAATTAGGCTAGCACGTGGGAGCCCAGGATGGTTCCTGCCCCGGGGACCTCTCCGTTGGTCTGTGGTTAGCAGCCCACACGGACACTTCCCTCCTAGTGCCCGAGAGACAAGAGCTGTGGGTCTCCATCACCGTGGTGCTCCCGAAAAACCCTCTGGAGCTGTTTGCTCGGCTCTTGCTGGCTCACCCCTGAGGGTTACGGGACTTCACTAGGTGGACAGAAAACTGAAGGAACGAACGAACAACAAAGAACCACTCAAATGAATAACAGCTAATCAGGGGCTGCAAAACATATCTGAAAATATAACCCAACAACAACAAAATGATCAACATGTTAACAGAGAAACCAACCCCTGGGGGGCCTGGGAGTGGTTCCCCAGCTTGAGTGCACCCCCCAGCCACGGGAGGTGCTGGTTAGATGTCCATCCCGGGACTCGCCCCTTGCGAGCCGGGCCTGAACGTGTGAGATGGGCCCGGAGCGGGGGTCATAACTGCACCTGGGACTCGGCTCTGGATAGAATCCAAAGGACACAAAGGGAGAAACACTTTGAAAAGAGAAAGCATCCCAGAGGTGAAGGTATGGTTTGTTCTGGTTGAGGAGGTGAGGGCGAGGTGTTCTGTAAAGGAGACCAGGGTTCAGATGTGCAGAGAGAAAGGCTCTGGCAGCTGGAAAAGGCAAAGAGGGAGGGAGTGCACGCAGTTGTTAGGAAATGCGTGTACCTAGGTTTCTTTTCCTTCCAACTGTAAAGTCCCCAAAATAAGGAAGAAATTTTCCAAGTAAGCTATCCACGGAATTTATGCTGATAGGGGCGCCTGCGTGGCTCAGTCGGTTAAGTCTCTGACTCTCGATTTCAGCTCGGGTCATGATCTCAGGGTCGTGAGATCGGGCCCCATTGTTGGGCTCTGTGCTGGGCATGGAGTCGGCTTGAGATTCTCTCTCTCCCTCTGCCCCTCCCCCTGCTCACGTGTGTGTTCTCTCCCTCTGTCTCTCAAAAGAAAAAAAAAAAAGAATTTATGCTGATAATTCTCTCTCTCTCTCCTTTATTCCATGCTTACAGCAAAGGAAAGGTGAGCCACTGCCCTGAGCTTCCCTGTGTTCTGTGACTTCCTCCTCAGGCACAAACCCCCTTTGGGGTCTTTTTGTACACACCACATGCTCTGAACACCTCCTCAGCCTCTGGTTTTCCTTCTGCTCCCTAGTACTATGGATTTGCACACACACTGCTCACACATGCGCACACACGCACCCTCGGGTATCCTGGGCATGTGTGTCTGCTCTGTGGGTTCCTTCAGTTTCTCTTCTTTGTGTTTGTTAAAGAGACTTTACATAAAAGCTGTGAGGAGAACGGCTTGGTCCCAGGCTCCATCCTGTAGGAAAATCTTGATCGGTTCCCCTGTTGCAAAGGGAAGACCAAGGGTCTTACTTCGCTTGAGATTTCACTGCGAGCTTCCAAGAGCGTGCCGTGATCAAAATGTTCTTTGTTCTGTTTTAGTTTTCAGAATGAAAATTTGGTTTTCGAGGAGTTTGCTCGCCAAAATCTGAAAGACTCAGGAGACCCCGAGGAAGGGAAGAAAGACCAGGAGGCCAGGGATGAGTGAGAAGACCGCTGGGAAACGGGGTAGTTCATAGCGCAATGAGCCACGCTCCAGAGTTAGCCCTTTAGTTATGCTAAATGCCGAAGTGTGAGTCTTCTTCACAGAAATAAAGTTTGTTCTGCTGCGATCTGATTTGAGCTGATTGGGGCTGGCTTGTTGAGGGGGCTGAGTGATGTCACTGACATGGAAGCTGCTGCCCGCAGCGTCCTGTGTCTCAGGTGGGGGAGGGCAGCACCTAGAACGGGAGCCAGACCTGCTCAGCACTGGCTCATGGAGGTGGGAAGATGGCCCAGGTTTGGTGAGCTCACTGCTGGAGCCTGGTGTGCCCAGGGCTTTCTCCAGGGGTCCTGGGGTAAACTGCTTCCCCGGAAACATATGGGGGCCGGGGGGGAGGCAGTGTTTCTAATGACCTGGCCACTCCTAGCTCCACGGCCCCCCAGGAGCCTCCTGAGATAAACAGGGCAAAGGACAAATGTGGCCAAAACACTCTTCATCACTGATTTAACTTTTGGTCCAAGTCCCTGTTTGAGCTCTGGGTTGTTAGTTAAGTTTCTCCTGAAAGCAAGCAATGAAATCAGATTTGGCTAGTTTAAGGGGAAACGGAGTGCACTGGGAGGACCTTGGAGGGGCTCAGAGAACGGAATTAAAGGAAGAATCTGAGTAGCCGCGGCTGAGGTGGGCAGGGATCAGAAGCTCCTGGGGCTGCCCAGGGGCTCAGGGGCCCGCCCTCTGGGCAGCCATCCTCCCGGAATGGTGGCCCCGCACCAGATGCCCTGTCTCCGGGTCTCTGTTTCCAGTGTGTGGGTCCTGAGCAGGAGAATCGGGCTGGCCCAGCTTTGGTCAGGTAGATCAATGCCCTGTGGCCAGTGATTGCAGCACCCGGCCCTAGGAACGGTCTGTCCTGGGAGAGGGGGCTTCTCGGTTAGAGTATCTTCACTGAGGTTGGGTGTGTATGTGGCGGGGGGGGGGGGGGGGGCGGAGGCTGCTCTGTGTCAGGGAGGAAGGTGGAGTTGAAGGGGCAATGGGATGACGGAGGTGGCACCAGGGCCCTGTCCTTCAGAGTCCCCTTCCTGGCCCGTGGTACTCACCAGTCTTGGGAGCTGGTACCAAGGGCCACAGAGGCGCTTGGGGGAAGTGTAGGCTCTGGACCATGCTTCAGGGGAGTAGGAACAAAGGGGTTTGCAGGGTTCTGCACAGGTGAAGCCCTTCACAGAAGGTAGGGTGAATGGGAGGGGACATGGGGGGCGTGTAGACACTTGGGATCAGGTCTCCAGGACCATGAGCAGTGACAGACGGCAGGACAGCAGCTCAGGCTCCATGCACACGAAGGTGCCCACCTCTGGGGTTGTTCAGCAGGATTCTAGGCTGGCTTGTGTCCTGGGGACTGGGATTTAGGCTGGAGGCTCCACTTGGGAACCGTGGATGGGATCCCATACACACAAAGTAAGGTGTGGACTCATGTGGGGTTTGAGGCATTCTGATATTGACAGGGATGAGGATTCATTTCAGGAGAAGGACTAATAATAATAATAATACAGGCAGAAGACTGAGCCTTTGGCCTGTGGGTTTGCAGGGTCAGACACAATTTCTCCTTCGTGTTTTCTCCCATTCCAAGGGAACAGCACCACTCCAACCCACGCCCCCTCTTAGGACACTCAGGAAGGATCAGAGCAGCAGGCTCCTCTGGGGATCGGAGCCCTTCCTCTGTTTCTGCCCAAGCCAAAGGGCAGCTTTGGTTGGCTCCCGCCAGAGATCCTGGGCAAGCGGGGCACCTGGGAGTCCGCCCGGCAGTGCCTGGTGAGAGGACCAGCCCATTGGTTCCTGCATTGCTTGACCCCAGGACATCCTAAGTCAGGGTGGATGTTAATGGGCTTGGCCTTTGGAACTGTGTGGGTTAGAGCTGGAGAAAAGGAGCTGGAAGGTCAATCCGGCACACCAGAGGTCCGAACAGTCCTTGCCCTCCAGGTTATTTTGGGACCAGAACGCCCAACTCACAAACTTCCAGGTGCTGGCTAGAATATAGCCTGCAGCTGGTCACCCTGGGGAGGGGGTGGGGGTGGGAGCAGGGAGCGAGCCGACGAATGGGATGTGGAGCCTTGCTTGGGCTGGGCCTTCGCTCCCTGGGGAGTCTACTGTCATGTTGTCAGGAGGCTGGATGTTCATGTGCAGGTCGGATGTGTGGCCCAGGGGTTCCCGGGTAGGTGCACTGGAAGAAACAGGGCACAAAGGAATTGAGAGTGCTACATGCAGAGAGTGGTGGCTGGGAACCTAGGACAAAGTTCTGCAACCAGCAACCGGAGGGCTGGAGAGGAGGAATCCCTCCTACTTACCAAGCACCTGCCTTGTGCTAAAGGCACTTTACCTCTTACATCTTATCACGAGAGCCACACTTGTAAGTGGGGCCTGTCACAGTCATCTGTTAGTTGGGGAAAGTACAGTTGGGAGACCTTATGCACCTTACCCAAGGTCACACAGCTGGTGAGAGTCAGAGTCGAGACCTGAATTCTGGTTTTCCTGAGTCTGTATCATCAGCCCTTTGCTCACCTTCTGATGCTGAGACTTTGGGGGCTCGGGGGCAGAGGTTAGCACTTCTGACTCAGCAATGGCTGCCCTAAGTTCTTTTTTTAAATCGAAATGTTATGGAGATAATTGTAGATGCACATGCAGTTGTAAGAAACAATACAAAGAGATCCTATATTTTCCCCCAGGTAACATCTTGCAAAATGAATGCATGCTATCACGAAGGACATGGACCCTGGTATGGTCCACCCATCTGCTTCCGATGTCCCCAGTTTTACTTGTATTTGTGTGCGTGTGTGTATTTAGTGAGCTACAATTTTATCACGTGTGTCGCTCATTAACCTCCGTTTAGAGAGTCTGTTTTCCTCTCCCTCTAACACTTCCCATTGCTCCCCTCCCCTTTTAAGGCCACTGCCTTCATGGTGGACCCCACTAATCCTTGGGGGGATGCGGTGGGTGCGGACCCCAGTTGGCATGTTTGGAAATGTAATGGGGGTGGTTATTTGGTTGTCACAATGCCTGGGGCCAGAGAAAAGATAGGTCACATGCAGTGAAGAAATGTCCGGCTCCAGATGTTGATCATAACCCGGGTTCGGGGTAAAATAAGATAATTCCCATATTTTAAAGCACATCATGCATTCTAACGGGAAGTGGGTTTTTTTTTCCTTTTTTTTTTGACAGGAGGGGCATGCACTTTTGCATTGACAAGTCGAGAAGGATTAGGTTGAATGTGAAGTGTGTTATTACTGCCACCTTGATATGCCCTTAAGGTGGGGTAAACTCAGGGAGGCGCACATTGTTGGAGATGATTCACAGTGTGACTCATTCCATAGGGAGGCACCGGAGGGAATGTGCTCTTCCAGGCAAGCCACTTCGGGGGAGATCTCCAAGGGAACAGTGCTCAGCAGTCACACGAGCACAGAAAGGCTTCTCCGCTCATCAGAGGAAATATGCCAGAGTTGGGTTTCTCTGACTTAGGAACATAATACGATTCTTAATGAGCCTAATGCTCTTTTAAAAAATACGCTTTTTATTTTCAAGTAGTTTGAGATTTACAGAAGAGTTGCCCAGTTAGGACGTGAACTCCTCCACACCCAGTTTCCCTTGCTACGAATGTCTCACATTAGGATGGCACATCTACCACGCTTAAGGAATCCATAGTGACACGTTATTATTAAACTAAAGCCCATTCTTTATTCAGATTTCCTTAGTTTTTACCGAATGTCCTTTTTATGTTCCAGGATCCCACATGACATTTAGTTGTCCTGTCTCCTTAGGCTCCCCTTGGCTGGGACAATTTATAGGACTTTTTCATGATTGCAATATACTCCTATCCAGCCACATCGGCTGCCTCTCAGGTTCACGTCTCTGGCTTTTTGCCTCTCAAATGATGGATTCTAGAGCCCAGACGTCCCCTGAGCTTCTGTCGGGTGTAGGCGACAGCTCACCCAAGCACCTCTAATTCAGTTTGTTCAAAACCAAGTTATTCTCATCTCCTCTAGGTCTAATTGTGGTCACTGGGGCGGCATCCCTCTTGAAAGCTGTGTCCCCGGGAGGCATCCCGATTTGTCCTGCTCCTTCATCTCCTGACTAGGAGCAGCTGGTGGTCCCATTTCTTTCCACCTCTGCTGAATCTCCTGCCTGTCACCTCTTCTCTCCACCGCCAGGACTACTGCCTTGGTTCTACCCCAAATCAAGCGTTGCCTAGATTGGTGAATTGCCTTCTAATGCCCTGTTTCTAGTCTTTTTTCCTCTGGATCATTCTCTGTCCAGATACATTGGTTCCTCTGCTTTAAACACCCTTCAGTGGCCTCTGTGCCCGAGGATGCAGTCCTTACCCCTGAGAACAGCACAAGGGGTGCTCTGGGTCCGCTGCAGCTGTGCACCCTCCCGGCTCCTCCTCCCCTCGCCCTTGGCTCAGCAGCAAACTTGCCTGGGAGTCTCTTGCCTTGTTGTGTTTTCCTGGAAAATTCCCTCCATCCCCTCACCTTTCTACTCAAATCTGCAAACCCTGCTGGGGTCATCCCTCCTCTGGAGAGCCCCCGACACCCTTGACAGAATTAACTCTTAGTTCCCCTCCGTTTTGTACTTACGTATCACACTATTTGTAATTAATTGATACAAAACCCACATTAGTCGGCTCTGCCTGTCATTACAAAGGACCACAGACCGGGGGGCTTCAGCAGAAATTTTTCTCACAGATCTGGAGGCCAGAAGTCTGAAATCAGTTTGGCAGAGTCGGTTTCTTCTGAGGCCTCTCTCCTTGACTTGTAGGTGGAATCTGTGTCTCTTCACTTGGTCTTCCCACTGAGCCTATCTGTGTCCACATTTCTACTTCTTGTAAGGACATCAGTCATATGGGATTACAGCCCATCCTAATGGCCTTATTTAACTTGATTACTTTTTTTTTTTTTTAAAGATTTTATTTATTTGACAGAGAGAGACACAGCGAGAGAGGGAACACAAGCCGGGGGAGTGGGAGATGGAGAAGCAGGCCTCCCGCGTGGAGCAGGGAGCCCGATGCGGGGCTCAATCCCAGGACCCCGGGATCACGACCCGAGTCAAAGGCAGACGCCTAACGACTGAGCCACCCAGGCGCCCCATAACTTGATTACTTCTTTAAAGGCCCCATCGCCAAACACAGTCACATTCCGATGTCAGGAATAACATCTGCAGGTTAGTTAGGACTTCAACATGTGAATGTTGGGGCGGGTGGGAGCCCAGTTCAGCCCATAACAGGCCCTTCTCTCCTCTTGCTTCCTACAAGCTCCTTCAGGCCCAGCTTCCTGGGAAGGCTAGCCTAGAAGCATCAAGAACTTTGGAGTCACATGGCCCAGGTCCAAACCCTGTCTCTTTTCCACTCCTTGGGAGAGGTAGCATTCTGAACCTCAGGCTGCAGTCTTCATCTCCAGAGCGGGCCCAGTGACCTTGCTCTGTGGGGCGTGTGTGAGGATTAGAATCACCGGTTAGGTGTCTGCTGTGTGTGTCCCGCGGTCTGCACCCCGAGAACCAGCATCACTATCTTCGAGCATTGCAGAACTTACTGTGATGAGGGAAACGTTCTGTATTTGTGCTGTCCCGTGTGGTAGCTGCTAAGCCACGCATGGCTATTGTGTATCTGAAATGTGGCTAGTGCGACTGAGGAACTGAACATTTAATTTTAATTAATTGAAATTGAAACTGAAGTAGCCACATGTGGCTAGTGGCTAGAGCATTGGGCGATGCACCAGGGGCTCTGGGCCTGTCCCAGAGTGTTCCTGCCTTAGGCCCTGAGATGCCCTGTCCTGGCTGTGAGTCCATTTCCCTGGCCATGTCCCCATGCTAGATGGGTTCACTTGTTTTGCCTTTGGAAAGTGTCACCCCAAGTAGTGGGGGCCAGAGCATGCTGACCGGCAGGCAGACCGGGGCCCACCCAGTCTCTAGCAGGAGCCCTCTGAAAGGGCAAGGGGACAGTCATGTAGCCCCCTAAGGATTTGCCCCTCTCACCTGTATGGCAGCAAAAACAAGTGCACTCTCTGGGCCCTCCAGTGAAGGGCTCACCTACCTGGCTATCATCTGGCAGTCCCGGCTACCACGCTGGGCCTCATCCCAGTCACCTGTGCCTCCTGCCTCCTGCCTCCACCTACACATCACTTGGCTCCCGAGTCCACTTCTCTATCTCTGCGGCCCCTCCCAATGACCCAGGGCAGCCACCTGCCCTGATTACTTCAAAGCCTGGATCACAGGCCCCAGCTTTGTGACCCAGCCCTGCCCGGGGTTAAAATCCCTCAAGGGCTTCCTGTTACACTCGGGACCAGCCCTTTATCAGGTTTCCAAAGCCCTATCTGACCTGCCCGCCCCCAGGCTCATCTCTTCTTGTTATTTTCTTCCCTTTAGGCTATGACTTCCGTTTTCTTCCTGGACACTTGTTCTTTCTTGCCTCCAGGACTTCGACCAGTCTGGTCCTTCGTCCTGGAACACAATTCCCCAGGCAGGGTTAACTCCTACTAGCCCTTTTCTTCTCTCAAGCATCATTTCTCCAGGAACCCTTCCCAGATGGAATCGTGTATCCCTGTTCTGGCATCCCAGAGGCCAGTCCTTTCTTTTTTCTTTCATGCATTCAGGCATCCATCCACTCCCAACTGTTTACTAAATGACAGACGCTGCTTTAGACGCTGGCGACACAATGCAGGGCAAGACAGGACGGTCCCGCGCCTCCTGGAGATCACTTACGTTCTTGAACGGGAAGACTGAAGATTGAAAAAAAAGTGAACACGGAGACAAAAAAAAAAAACAACACACAAATTGTGTCCTAGACAGAAAGCAGACGCTAAGACCAGGAGCCAGAGGACACGGGGGGGGGGGCGGTTAGAGGCAGAGGGGCCCGAGATTGGCTCCATCTGCGGCTGTGCGCGCGGCCGGCAGGGGGCGCGGCGAGGCGGCGTGGGGCCCCGCCCAGGCCCCAGGCCCGCCCCCGCCCCGACAGGCCCCGCCCCCAGACCCCGCCCCCGGCCCCGCCCCCGCCCGCTGTGCGCGCGCTGGCCCGGCAGCATGGCGGCGGCGGCGGGCGCTCCTCCGCCGGGTCCGCCGCAGCCACCTCCGCCGCCGCCGCCCGAGGAGTCGTCGGACAGCGAGCCCGAGGCGGAGCCCGGCTCCCCGCAGAAGCTCATCCGCAAGGTGTCCACGTCGGGCCAGATCCGCCAGAAGGTGAGCCCGCGGCGGCGGCCCGGGCGCGCGCCCCTCGCGCCGCGGCAGCCCCGTGAGGCCCGCGGCCCGGCCCGAGAGCCGCCCAGGCCCGGCCCAGCCCGGCCCGCGGTCCCGCCGGGCGCCGCCGTCCGGGCGGAGTGCGCCCCACGGGGTAACGGGCCGGGCGCCCCTGCCGCGCCCGGGCTGAGCGCGTCCTCCCGGCGGGGTGGCGGCGGGGACCCCGGGCCCGGGGCGCAGGTGGGCGCCGCGCGGGGCCGAGCGGGTGGGGCGGGGCGCCGGGCCAGGGGCGCCCGCCGCGGGTGGGCCGCGAGGAAGCCCCGCGCTGCGAGGGCCGGGAGGAAACTGAGGCCTAGAGACGGGGGGCGAGCGCACCAGAAACGGGGCCGCTGGCTGTGTCCCGCAAGCGCGCGCTCCCCGAGCCCCGGCTTCTGCACGTTTCTGAGGACTGACCAGGTCATTTCCCGCTGGGTGCTCTGCAGACTCACCTGTGCTCCCCTGGGAATCCAGCTGGACCCGGGTGCGGGGGCTCTTCCTTGACTCGCGCGTGTCTTCGTGCCCTTAAGGGAAGGGATGCGCGTTCTGTGACCGGCTCTCCCTCCCTCCGGGGAAAGCCGAGAGAGGGGGCTTTCCCTGGCTGCGCACCCGCTGGGCGCCCAACTCTCCGCGGAGAACTCCAGACGCTAAATATTCGCAGCAGAAGGACGCATTTCCTTTCTGCAGGAGGAAAGTTGCGCCCTTTGTTTTCCCATTGCGGTTCCTCTTGAAAACTGCTTATGGTTTTGGCTACAGGTGAGCCCTGTCTGTTAGAACACGGCTGCCTCAGGCAGGCGGCTGGACAGGTGGCTGAGGGCAGGCTGGGGCTGTGGGCAGCCCCGGCAGATCCAGCTGGCACAGACTCTCATCCTGCTGCAGTGCGCTTTTCCTCCGGGGCCAGTTAGGTTCAGCTGCTACTTTCACCGTGGGAGCCATTTCTTGCTTTACCTTCTGTCAGCCTTTGATACTTCGGTGCGGGTAGTCTTTGGTCTGAACGTGTTAGAAACAAGTTTATTGGGGCGCCTGGGTGGCTCAGTTGGTTGAGCGACTGCCTTCGGCTCAGGTCATGATCCTGGGGTCTCCGGATCGAGTCCCGCATCGGGCTCCCTGCTCGGCGGGGAGTCTGCTTCTCCCTCTGACCCTCCTCCCTCTCATGCTCTCTGTCTCTCATTCTCTCTCTCTCTCAAATAAATAAATAAAATCTTTAAAAAAAAAAAAAGAAACAAGTTTATTGTGAAGTGTTCCAGTTATTCAGCAAATAGGTATTGAACACCTCCTTTGTTGCAGGCATAACAGTAACAGTAATAATTGTAATGAGAGCAGTTCTTCAGCGCTTACCAGGCAGTGTGCCAGGCACTTTTCTTGGGTTAAACTTTACAGCAGTCTACATGGGCTGTAACTCATTTAGTACTAGCGAGAACCCATTGAGTTGGGTGTTAGCCACCATCCCTATCTTATGGGATTGGAAATCGAGGTAGAGAGGTGAAGTGACTTGCCCGGGGTGTCACAGGTAGTAAAGGTGGATCTGGATCTGAACCATGGTCAGGATCCCAAGACACAGTGGTAGGAGTCTGGCTCCTAGTCTGTGGGAGATGGACACCTGCGCATGTGACAGTATGACCTAGTAAGTGCTGTGGAAGCTCAGGGGACAGAGAATCCAGCTACCCTGGCAGGCAGGGAGGGGAGGTCCTCTTTAAACAGATCTTTTTTTTTTTTTTTTTTAAAGATTTTATTTATTTGACAGAGACAGCGAGAGAGGGAACACAAGCAGGGGGAGCGGGAGAGGGAGAAGCAGGCTTCCCGCTGAGCAGGGAGCCCGATGCGGGGCTGGATCCCAGGACCCCGGGATCATGACCTGAGCTGAAGGCAGACGCTTAACGCCTGAGCCACCCAGGCGCCCTACACAGATCTTGAGGGAAAGGGGAAGGAAGCGCTTTCCACATAGTTGATGCATATTGACACATACTGTATCTAAAGGTTTAGGCACACCTGGGAATGATCTGAAGGTGAGTGGGTCAGGTTGAGAGGAATTAGGAAGAGGCTGGAAAGGTAGATTGGGCTGGATTTTAAAGGGTGAGCTGTGGAGTTGGGTTTTTGGCCTTGGGCAGGAGGGAGCCGCTGACGGTTATTCAGTGCATGGGAGTGACCAGTCAGATGTGCTTTTAGGAAGATCTCCAAGTAGCCCTAAATGATACTGTTAAGAGTTGCTCTCCCCTGTTGTTTGGTCCTGGAGCATGGTATGTGCCCAGTGTGGGGTAGATCATGTGATTTACAAGTGTGATTAAGATTAGATCTCTCAGAGATTCCAGTGTTTGTTCAGAATTGTATTCTTTAGGAGGCCTTCTCCCCCCCGCCCCCCCCCTAAAAAAAACCCCCCAAACACAATAGCTGCTGTACCTACCAGCTGTTGTGGCTGAGGAGGAGTGATGGGTAGAGTGTTAAAAATACACCCTGAGGATTTGAGTTGCTGAATACAGTCACATCTGCTGTACAAATAGCTTAAGGCAAATTTTTCTTTCGTGTTGTTAGAGATTGCCTGAATGTGAGAAGTGTGAGGTTTTCTGTGTGCAGTAGCTCCCCCCCCATTTTTTGAAGCAGATAAGCCATTCAGAAAATTGCTCTGGTATATGTGGTGCCTAAGAGAAATATCCAGAATGGTACGGGGTATCATTCTGGGTCTAAACGGGAAAGCTGCAACCACTTGAAGTATTTAAAACAGATGGAATTTGGGGCACCTGGGTGGCTCGGTCGGTTAAGTGTCTGCCTTCAGCTCAGGTCATGATCCCAGGGTCCTGGGATGGAGTGAGTCTCTGAGTCGGGCTCCCTGCTCAGTGGGGAGTCTGCTTCTCCTTCTCCCTCTGCCCCTCGCCCCACTTGTGCTGGTACATGCTCTCTCTCCTTCTCTCTCTCCCTCTCAAATTTAAAAAAAGAAATCTTTAAAACAGAGGGCATTTAATGTAGGGGAGTGGCTACACAGGTGATGAAGAACGGAGGATGCAGACAGTGGCTGATGAGGCAACAAATAGGAGCCCACTGTCACCCCTGAGCTAGAGGACAGAGGGAGGAGGTAGCATTTCGGACCCCAGGAGCAACTCCCGCCTGCCAAGAGGCTCCCCTGGGCTGTCTGGTGGGCCCTGGTGCCTTCAGAGGGCGCAGCTGCTGCTGGAGTCTCACCCCATCCCCCTCTTGCTTGGGACACCCAGCCTGTTAGGGATCAGCCCCTCTGCAGTTTGGAGTAGAGCAGAAGATCAAGGAATGGAACTGCGGACAAGTTTTTGAAATACCAGTCCAGTGCAAGCTAAGAACTGTCTTAATGGAAAAAGAAATGTGCAGGCACATCGCCGGGGATCTTGTTAAAATGCAGATTCTGGTTGAGTAGGTCCGGGGTGGGGCCTGAGAGTCTACATTTTAATCAGCTCTCAGGAGATGCTGCTGCCACTGCTGCTGGGCCGTGGACCAGACTTTGAGAAACAAGTCCGTATGCCATACGTGTCAAGAGAAGCCTTCCCAAACCCCAAAGAAATCTTTAGTTTATGAGGTTCTCTTAAAACTTTCCCCCAAGTCTTTAGCATTACGAAAACTTGATGAGTGGAGATTTGACATGGTCATTTGGTAGTTTAGCATTTCACACGTCTGATATTTTCCAAAGTTCCGACTGTGTCCAGCAAACACATTACTTCATTTGTATTTCCTAACCATAGCGCGCAATAACAACTCTGTAGGACCTCATAGAGTGAAAAAAGAAGATGGGGCTAATACACTGGTAGATTAATTCACTAGCACATTATAAAGTATTTTGAAATTTGAATAAAGAACAGTGTGATTCTGTGAAGCATTATCAGTTAAGATAGAGTGTAATCTAATTTCAAAGTTGTTTTTTTTTTAAACATTTTATTTATTTGACAGAGACACAGCAAGAACAGGAACACAAGCAGGGGGAATGGGAGAGGGAAAAGCAGGCTTCCTGCCTAGCAGGGAGCTCAATGCGGGGCTGGATCCCAGGACCCCGGGATCATGACCTGAGCCACCCAGGCGCCCCTAATCTATTTCAAAGTTTTAAAAAAGTTCACATTTTTGGCTTTGTGCACAAAAGTGCTCATATTCCTGATTTCAAATTTAAACAAAGCATTTTTCCCACTGTGAAATGAAGACTAGCAGATATTAGGCAAAATGTTTAAGTTGTAAAAGACTTAAAAAATAGCTTTATAAAGATATAATTCACATACCATGCAGTTAACTCCTTTAAAGTGTGTAGTTCAGTGGTTTTTAGTATATGCATAGTTGTGCAACCATCACCGCAGTCAATTTTAGAATGTTTTCATCACCCCCGAAAGAAACCCCATAACCATTAGCACCCGTTCCTCATTCCTTCTCAACTCTCTCAGCCTTAGACAACTGCTAATGTACTTTCTGTCTTGAGGATTTGCCGACTGTGGACACTTCGCATACATAGAATCATGCAGTATGTGCCTTTTGTGTCTGGCTTCTTTCACTTAGCGTTAATTGTTCAAAGTTCATCCATGTTGGAGTGTGAGCATTTGGGTTATTTCCACTTTTGGCTATTTTGGATGAGGCTGCTGTGAGCATTCACATACATGTTTCTGTGTGGACGTATGTCTCATTTCTCTCGGGTGTCTACCTGCGAATAGGTTTGCTGGGTCACATGGTAACTCTGTGCTTAACCTTTGAGAAACTGGCAGACTCCTTTCCAGAGTGGCTGCACCATTTTACCTTCCCCCCAGCAGTGTGTGAGGGTTCCAGTTTCTCCACGCCCTCAGTTATTACGTCTTAATTATAGCCATCCTAGCGGGTATGTAGTCATATGAAAGGTTTTTAAAGCTCACATGTGTATTTAAGAGCCTAAACTCTGGTGTTAAACGAAGTTGATTCACACCCTTCGCTCCCACTTATGAGACACGAGATATCACGGACAGGTTCCTAGATCTCTCTTAAGACTTGGTTTCCTG